GCGTCTAAGATCTCGTGCCACCTCAGCCCCTCATTTTCGCGAGGCAAGTTTCCTATCTTCTCTGAGCCTCGGTTTATTCTGCAAACGTGAAAGGAAGAGTTGGAACATCTCATCTTCAATCCAGCTCTGACACTCCGATTGTTCCTGACCCTGACTTTGCCCTGACTCATTAACTATGTTTTATCCCACGGAAGAATTCGAGATAAAACCAGCCCCTTTCCCGCAAACAGCAGCCGAGGTGCGGAATAAATACAGGGAAGGCTCCAGATGGGCAGAACGACAGGTGGCAGCCAGAATTAGTGGCAACCGTCCCTGTTGCCCCGCCTAGTCCCCCCAGCTCGCCGAGTACCTGCCAGAGTCGCCGGCAAACCGCGCCAAGCACTGCTCGCGCCGCCATCTTGCCGTCCCCGCCTCCCAGGATCGCTTCCGGGGTCACAGCGGCGTCCTCAGACCATGGAGTTCCGCAGAAGGAGAGAGTATATCCCTGTGTTCCGGCACAGGAACAACCATAGAGACGTGACTTCGTGCTTTTGTTGGGTGGTCGGGAGGCTACGGCTGGCGTCCGTGGGATCGGCTTTCTGCCTGACACCCGTTCTTGATACAGGTGCCATATTTAGATAGTGACCAACTTCCATCAATGTTTTCCTCTTTAAATCGTGTTTGTCCTATGTGGTTCCTGTTTTGTTGGAGGTAAACATAACACATGCTTGGAAAAAATATATAACTAATGTAATGATGGCAGTTATCTCTGGGTAGTGGATTAATGGTTGATTAATTTTCCTATTTCTGTATTTTTCAAAAGTTTAACAAAATCTGTATTTCATTTGAAAGAAAAGTGAAAGTCTACCACTCCATTGAGTCCAGTCCCATCCCTTTACCTCATTGCAATAGCCTTGTAGTTCCTTCCCCACACCAACTGGCATTTTTGTGCTCCAGCCATCCTGCACACGACTGTCCTACTAGTCTTCCTAAGTCTTCATCTCCTTATGTTGCTCTAGTATTTAGGAATGTACAATGGCTGCTCTTCACCTAGTACCACAAGCCAAAAAGTATTATAACCAAAAAGTGTCTGGTTATTAATGTCCACCATAATTTAGCTCCAACTAAAAGGCTTATAACTGGGGTTTGCTGTACTAAAAATTTTTTCCATTTGTGCAGTTCTCTAAGCTTTACTTCCCCCAAGTGCTTTCACATATGCAATTTAGTATAATGGAAAACTCTAGACTTGGAATCAGGAGATCTGGGTTGTAAACTCAGGTACCACTTAGCTGAGTGACTTCAAGCAAGTTACTTCCCCACCCTGAGCCTCAATTTTCCCATATGTCAACTAGAGATGATAATAATAGTTCCTCCTTCAAATAGTTGCCATGAGGATTAAATGAGATACTAATGTATGATGTTTAATAAGGGCCTGGCACATAATAATGCAAGATAAATGTCATCCACTATTTGTAACACAAAGTTACTTCCATTTCTCCTGCCTCACAAGATTGTTGAGAAGATTAAAAATAAAAATATCAAGTTTATGAGAACATTTTGTAACATCTAACTAAAATATTGTGAAATGTAAAGTTTACTATTTCCTCCCCTCAAGTAGGTATTACTTACTCTATTTTGCAGGCAAGAGAATCAAGGAAGGGGTAGAATGGTTTGCCCAACATCACACAAATTGAGGAAAGATCTAGGACCAGAAATTAGTTTCCCCGCCCCTCAGACTGGCTTCTGTTCACTAGAACTCAGTTCACATGGAGGTGTGGCAGAGATGCCCTGGGTGGTCCTACACCAGAGTGTGGAAACAGCACACTTGACCTGTGTGCACCTGTGCTCTACTTGACTGTGCCCTGCCTTGGAAGGCTGCCCAGTGCCCTTTTTGGAACTACACTCTCTGAATTATGACACTCAAAGTTGGCTGGTTTCTCTCAGCCAATGGGGTTTTCCAACCACTCTCTGACTCTGTTGCTGCTTCTGAAGTTGCATCAGTCTCTCTATATGGCATTTCTGTGATGGCTCCTCAGCCCGCCTCTGCCCCCTTTGAGTAGCCTCAGCTGGGTAAGGGTTCTGCAGCCACAATGATGGTGACATTAAAGATTGCAAACAACTTGCACCTATGTTACCTAATCTGATCCTCACAAGAAGACACAAATTTTATCCTAATTTTATAGGCGAGGAAACTGAGGCTCAGGGATGAAATGATTCATTCAAAGTCCTATGGTGAGTTACTTACAGCTGAACCAATAATTGTCTTCAATATCCTAGTTTGGTGCCTTTTCCACCCCTGCAGTGGGCTGGTGCTGATTCTATGATGAGGTCCAGTTCTATTTAAGTCTCTTTTGAACACGAGGAACAGAGATCCCAACTTCCCCACCCTCCTACAAGAAAAGGAGTTTATTTTTTATTTTTAAAAATACATGTTGCCTGGACTGCTCCTGCCACTGGAAAAGTGGGTTCAAAGCAGCCTTAGGGACTGGGTGCCCTCTCTACTCCTAAGGCCAAACGTGGTCTCTTTATTAAGGGGCTTCCTCTGCTTACATATAGTTTCTGCTCCCTCAGAACTCTGCCTTGCACGTGGCTACTGCTTGCTGCCTTTGGCTCACCAACTTTCTCCATTCATACTCTCAAATGTGGGAATTTGATTTGATCTCCTCATTTTCCTGGGCAAAGTAGGTCATGTGTCATTAACCAACCTATGGGCCTAACAGCTTGGGGTCAGGTGCCAGCCCTGGTCCAATAAGCTGGGGGCAAGTTGGGAGTCATTGTGAGGGGAAGACCCAGGTTTTGCCAACAGTGAGGCTATGGACAGGGCCCTTTGGCATGGTGTATGGCCATGGACAGTGTTCTGAATCTCAGCCTATCCATTATGGGTCTCTTCCCTACAACCTAAACTTTCAGACCTCTGACCTAATGTAGATGAGCAGGAAATCAAATGATTCTAGACAGCTGATGCAAGTACGCTTTGCTTTAGCCAGCCTGGGTGGTCTAGTGGTTGATTTTGCACTCTCACCGCATGGCCAGGGTTTGTTTCCCGAGAGACCACTTGTCCGTCGGTTGTCATACTGTGGTGGATCTGTCTTGCTGTGATGCCGAAAGCTATGCTGATGATATTTCAAATACCAGCAGGGTCACCCATGGTGGACAGGTTTCAGCAGAGCTTCCAGACTGAGACAGCCTAGGAAGAAGGACCTGGCCACCCACTTCCGAAAAAATTGGCCATGAAAACCCAGTGAATGGCAGCAAAGCACTGGCCAACATAGCACCGGAAGGTGAGCAGATGGCACAAAAAGACTGGGCAGGATTCCGCTCTACTGTAAACAGGGTCGCTAGGAGTTGCAATCGACTTGACAGCACTAACAAACACCTTGTTTCATACCCAGGAAAAATGAAAGTATATGCATCAAATATTTCTAAGTTAAATCATATTTTATTGCAACAATTGTTCTATTTACTCTTGAAAAGAGCCCTTTTCCCTTGATTGCGATAGTTTCATAGTTCTATACTTATCTCCAAACTCATCCAGTTGTATACAATAAATGTGTATGGCTTTTTACATGTCAATCATCTCTCAATAAAGTGGCTAAAAAAAAAAGGAAAAGAAAAAGAAATGGCAATACTGCCCCAAATAAAATTTTACAAGCAGAGGAAGTAATAACCCAAAAGTGAGATCAGCGTTGTATGTAATGACATGTGTGGGACGCAAAACAAGCATGTATGGCTGCTCTGGCCTTTACAGAAACATTAATCCTTTCCCTTGGGGCGGGTGGGGGTGGGGTGGGAAGGCAGACCTTTTCGGAAGATTCTTTCTCTTCTATAAAGGAAATAACCAGCCCTTTGGCTCTTTTATACAGGGATGTCTGTGATCTAAAGATCACTACAGTTCATTTAGGGATATATTATTCAATTTCTTAACATGACTTCCTAATTATGTTTTGCCTTCAACATTAAAACTCATCCTCATTCCTAGAGCACACCTCAGATGGCTGGCTGTGGCTGAGGAAGGTAAACAGGGAGTTCATTCAGAATTGACTTTAGGTAAATTCAAAAGCAGTTTTATTTACACACCCACACGGATAAGCATACCTGGGAGATTAGAGAGAGAATTAATGTAACAAATAGTTGCTGAGCACCTGTGATAAATTGCTGTGTATATGTGTGGACGATGGTGAGGTGGCTCAGAATATCAATGAAGCATGACCTTTGGTCTTCCCAATGGTGGAACTGGATCAGTTCTCAGGGCCCCATATGTTCTTCCTAAGTATTAAATTCCTAGACAGGAAGGAAGATGTCACACTCATCTTTATGCAGTCAAGTCCCCCATGTATAATACAGTGTGGAATAGTGCCTGGCACAGGGCGCTCATGAACGCTGAAAGAACCAATAGACCAGTGGGAGAGTCTTCAGATTGGACACCCGAGCCCCTGGAAGCAGAATTTAAATCTACAATACTAGCTAAATGCACACTGCGTCTAGAGGACTGGCTATTTTATTTGATAGAGGACTCTCTAAAATTGAGAGCTAAAATGAAAGTTAAAAAACCCAAAAGGACCTAGAAGATCAAGCTCTTGAACAGGTATGCCCCACTGAAAGCAAACTGTATAAAATCCAGAATTTGAGATGTCGCCCAGTTTGTCGTTGACCATTAAAAAGTCAACACACTCTTTAGAATCTGGAAATCCAGATTAGCAATGCATATAAACCAGGGTGGACAGGGGTTTGTGGAGGGTTCACTGTGAGAGACCTGTGTGTGACATTGAGTTTCTCTAAACTGCAGGTCTCAGTCCTAGGGTTTAGAGACCACCAACCCTTCAAGGGGCTCACACACTGGTCAAGGAGAGGAAATGTATGTCCTGGCCCCCAGGGTGGGGGTGGGGGCACTTTCATGAGCATGAAATCTGATCAGCAGATCTCTCAACCAGTCTACGCAAACCAACTAAGAGGTAAATTAGCATTTATCCAGAATGGAGAAGTCATTTCAGTGGCTAGAAAGAAGGAATGTTTAAGCCAAATGGAACTCAAAAAGATAACATTTTATTTCCAGAGCAGCCGATGCAATATTGAATCAGGTTTTCACAAATAAATATGACAGTGTCTATTTGGTTACATCTCTATTTGATGAAGGACTATCTATAGGAAGTGTAATAAATTCCCGAGAGGGCTAATGACTGGAACCTTGTAAGTAAAATTCTCCTGGCTTTCTTTCTGAAAAAAATCATGGTGACAATTTAGAAAAATGCTTATCACTTGGGGGAAAACCAACCTAGAATGCCCCAGTTGTTTTTGTTTTTAAGGAATGCACCTTTTTAGGACAAGTCTATAAAACATCTTTATTTATTTGTTACATATGATGTTTAAATATAACTTTGCTTTCAAGCTTCAAACTTTTTTTTAAACCCCTGGTAAAATAAGACTTTTGGTTCACCTTAACAAAAACTGACCTAGGAAGAAACATTTTTAGCAAAATGTATTATAAAATTCACTAGAAAATACTGTCCTCTTTTTTTGCCAAAATGTTACATAAAATCCTTATTAAAAATACACACATACAAAAGAAAAATTATGAATATGCTATACATAGTGCTTTTGATATGGACAAAGGGACCTGCATTCCGGGGAAGATACAGTTAAGCACACTAGATATTATGATGTCAACTTATAATAGTGCAAACCTGAATAAATTACATCCTGAAATGAGAAGGCATGCAAGTCATTTGCTGAGAATAGAACATAACGAAGCCAGGACAGGAAGCAATCACAAGCACTATTTAAAAATGTTTTCCTTTTTATTACATTAATTTTTTTCAAAAATACTTTTCTTTACAATAGAACTCCTAGAAAATATTTACAACCTTCCTCTAATAAAATATAACAGCAGTTAAATATATTTGAAAATAAGATGAGTTTTTCCATAAAATATATCTGTTAACTTTTTATATACAAGCTTTCTCAAAGAGGTCTAAATTCACTAATGAAAAACCACCTATAGTAAACAGTAATTGTGTTGAAGACATTAACCGTTAGGAAGAAAAGTTCTTTGAAGGGGGGAGGAGTCGGGGGGAAGCTAAAACACATCACAGACATGCAGGCAGAATCATTTCAGAAAAAAAATAAGTGCAATATTTTACTATGAAGTCAATTCTTTAAGTTGATATTGTCAAGAAACACTAATTCAGGAATTTGAACTGTCTCTTTAAGGAGGAGTTCTTTGGTTATTTCAAGTCAAAAATGCTTAAATACTATACTGCATGGAAAATCAAAATTAAATTGTGCATTATGTTTTTGCCTTGGCAACTCAGTTTATTTTTAATGTTTAAAACTGGAACGGCTGGGCAAGTCTCCAAACAGAACGAACACATTTGCTTTATAAACAGTTTTCTGGCTGTTTGCTCCTTTGATAGATAAGCTTTCCTAGACCCCATAGCAGAATCATTCCAGAATCACTCTCATACATCCGCAAGAGGAGGGAAGTAGTCGCTGGAACAGATGAGATCAGCTGATACTACAGCTGGAATGGTTGTGGAATAGTTCTGCCACAAAGTTGATGCACACGGCCCACGCAGTTCTGAACTCAAAACATAGGACAGAATCATCTGTCTGAAATGGCAGCAAATAAAACACCCTTTTCTTTTCCCTAAAGAAAAGATGAAGGAAACCTCCAAAACCTCTTTTCTGAAAACAGAGTGATGGAAATGAAAAGAACCTTTGAATGTATCTTCTGTCTGTGGCTTTCCTGAGATTCAGAGAACACTGTCTGTGTGGGGCCGCTGCGGGCCATGAGTGTGCGCAAAATGCTTTTGCAGAGACAAACTTAAAGGGTGCTCGAGGCCTGTCCTCATGCTTCCGCTGACATTCTAATGTCAAGCTATTAATGTGCCAGCAAAGTGGCCTGGCATGATCGCCACACCTACACGAGCTGGGGAACCAGCCTACCTGGGATGGAGCAAGGCTTGAAAGCCTCTGCTCTGGAAGTCATGCATTAACGCTGAGGGGGAGCCCCCAGAAGCAGTCTGCTTGCGCTGGGGCTGCATCCCAGTCTGAAGGCGCACGCTCATTTGCCCCCGTGGGCTGCGGCAGTCTGACTCAGCTCAAAAGCCTGAGCTAAAAGTCATTTTTGAAGGATTACAGGTTTATTACCTTCAAGTACAAACAGGAACCCTGCTACAGGGACAGGAGGAAGCAGAGTTATGTGGCTTGGAGAATTCTAGAAGTGCTTTGGTAAATGACTTTAATGAATACATTCATTGTTTGAATGCAAACATTGTAGCTGAAATGATATCTGAAGCCATTTTTATTGGCCTTTAATGCTATTTCCCTTGTATTTGCTATCAAATTTGTTAGAAAATCCTTTCTCGTGTAGCTAGCGTCAAGGTAAACTTCCTTCCAGCACAAGAAAATTACAGCAAAATCCCAGTGAATGAGGTTTCACGGTACTTCCAAGTGGCACAAAGGAATTTCAGAACTCCACTGACGATTAACAGTAGTGCAAAAAGGAATGGGTTCTTCGATCTAGTTTTTGGGCAAAAGAACACTTCTTGGCATTCCAGATACTTCTCTGTGTGCCCCTCGACCACCCTCCCAACAGACAGCCCTAGCAACTTAATGTTGGGCTCATCTTCCTCCAGGTGGGTCCCCAGGTGGCTCACGCCGAAACACGGTTCTGTGAACCCACAACTCAGAGCCAACTGATCTCCAGGGAACATGGAAGAGGACACACTTGCTCTATGAACCAGGTCTTTAGAAAATCCCTGCAGTGGAGTGCAAGCTGGAAATCATACAGTACTCAGTTCCGAGAAACAGGCCAATGAGTGACAGACAAGGCAGGGAGAAAAGTTATTTTCACATTTGGTCACCTTTTCAAATGACGTGTGTGCTAGAGGAAAGCCATGGACCACGAGAGCTTGCTTTGCTCTCTGGAAAGCTACCCCCTAGCATAGAGTGCGCCAAGCGACCGCAAACTACGGAAGGAGGTCAGAACAAAAATAACTCTTGGTGGGAGAGGATGGCCCAAAGCCCCAGCATGAAGAGGGCAGCCTGCTGCACACACACACATACACCCATACACACACCCACTGCAAGCTTTGGGATAAAAGGCAGTCAGGATGGTTGACATCTGAAAGCCAAAGAACACGAATGTCAGGTTCATTCCCTGCCAGGAATGATTTCACGGGAATGTAGCCCAGATGAAACACCTCTTAAATAGAGTTGTGCCAATTATTTATTCCCCCTAACCTCCCGCAAAAACAAAAAAAAATTTTTTTTTAAATAAAAGGAAAAGAAACTGGAATTTTTTTTCTAAACTGCAAGAAAACGACCACTTTTTAAACAGGTAGTTTAAAATGGTTACAAAACAAGCAGTCAGTCCAGGTTTCCTGATTAATGAAGACGGAGGCCGTGGGTTTTCGCTGTCTCTAAGTGACAAACAGGGCTTTACAGTTCCGTGTCACCATGAAGCAAAACTGAATCTTGATCATCCAAGAGGAGATCGGCGTCCACAACCTCAGCCTCTTCCATGACGCCTCCTAACTGCTGGACCATGTCATCGTCGAGGATGTCCACGTCCTTGATGGGTTTGATGAGGCTCAGCTGGTCCAGGGGCAGCAGCGTGGGCGCCCCCACTGGCCCCGTAGTCCTTTCGATTGTGGCTGCCATTTCAGCCGCGAAAGCTGCCTTCTGAGCCTTTTGCCTCTGCTGTTCCTCCTGCTGCCTGTGAGTTTTCATGTGCGCGTTTCGGCTTTTGATCTTGAAGAAGACTCTAAAAATGAAGAAAAAGCAGCATGTGAAATTCAGAAGATCCGAGTTCTTGCATATCCAGCCATCCTACGGGGGATAAAGGGCGTGTGGTCTGACATCTGGTTTGGGATGGCTTTGACCGAGTCCCCAGCTCCTTAGCTCCTAGGACCTCCTGCCCCTGTGAACTGTCACCTCTTCCCTCCAAGCACTACAAGGGAAAAGGGATGGGGACAGGAACACAATTATAGCATGTCAGTCTTCCTCCCTGTGCCAATGGAAGATGAATTCCCCTGTTCATCTGTGGTCTGGAGCACATGCCCTTCTCCTTCAGCTTCCCCCTTTCTCTCTCCATCACTAACCAACCTGACAATCCCCAAATCGGGCCAAGCTCTGACAGTCATCATGAAACAACCCATCACCCACCTTTGGCTTCTGTCTCTGCTCTTCCACAGGCAGAATTCTTCAAGGATCTGCCTGCACACACTTGGCATAGCTCCCCTTTCCTCTACCCTCTCCACCTGGCCTGCTGTGCCCTCCACTGCACCCAAGTGCCCTTCTCAAGGTCACCAGTAACTCTGTGTAGCCAAACCCAAGGCCCCTCTTCTGTCTCTATGGACCTGACTTCTGAGCTGCACGCTCCACTCCTTTTCACCTAAGATCCCCTGTTCTTGGCCATCATTTTATCATAATTTCCTACTGTTTGCTTTAGAATGAAATAGTCGTTCTCAGCTGGGGGTGGTTTTGCCTCTCCAGGAGCGTCTAGCAATGTCTGGAGACATTTGTCACAACTCGGAGGGGGGTATTTCTGGCATCTAGTGGGTAGAGGCCAGGGATGCGGTTAAACATCCTACAATGCAGAGGGCAGCCCCTCTTCCCCAAACAAGGAATTATCAGACCCAAATGTCAGAGCCGAGGTTGAGAAACCCTGGGATAAGGGGTCTGCAAACTGTGATCAGTGGGCCAAATCCAGCTGACGGATAGCCTGTTGTTGTAAATAAAGTTTTATTGGAACACAGCCACGTCTGTTTATGGATCCTCTGTGGCTGCTCCTGCACTGCAATGGCAGAGCTGAGCAGCTGTGATAGAGACAGCACGGCCTGCAAAGCTAAAATATTCCTATATGAACCCTTCTCAGAAAAAGTCTGCCAGATCTAAGACTGCTTGTTTTTGGAGAGGCGGTGGCATAAATACTCTGTATTGTATTCATTCCTGAGCTCATCAAGGAAAAAAACCCCTGATTTCTAAGACCTGGGTCAAACAGCATCAATGAATCACAACTGGACGCCTTGAAAACTGTTCAGTGTAATGAACACGACTTCAGCAGCTAACAGAGGCTTTCTGCAAACATTCGCCTAACGTTATTCCTGGTCTGAAAAACCACAGAAAATATTTCTATTTTCTATAAAATATTAACTGGAGTTATGGTAGAAAAAGGTCCCAGGCAACATAAAAAGAAAACAAGAAAAACGTTTAATGGATGTTACTGAAAGACAGAAAGCTTGAAATACTAACTTTTGTTGGTTAAAATGTCCTTTGTCTCCACCTGGTGGAGTAAGGAGTAAGCAGCCTGTTTGAGCTGAGAGAGTGGACGGTGCCGGCTCCTCTTCAAGGACCCCATGCGCCCCCTCTCCCACCCCAGGGCAAACAGCTGGGAGAGAACAGGATCTGCCTGGAGAGGTTCCATTATTTCAAGTAAATAAACCTAATGGTCAATCCAGGGCTCATTTCTTCCGTGGTGACGCGAAGATGATATCACGCCCAGGCTCTGAAAGCCTAAAGCCATTCCTCCATCTCTGGCCTTCACAGAGGGAAAGAGAGCCGCCAGTGCCAATACATTTGGCGGGTGCCAGCGAACGAGTCAGGTTTACTGAGAGGCTAAGAGCACGTCCAGGCCACCCTGCTCGGTTTCAGTCCCCACTCAGCTGTGCACCGTGACAAACCACTTAACCGTTCTGTGCCTCAGTTTCTCTGCTTGTAAAAAAGAAGCTACTGAAAGTACCTACCTTATTGGGCTATTCTAAAGATTAAATTAATCAATACGTGTAAAAATCCTTTAAAACAGTGCCAGGCGAACAGTGAGTACCTAACAAATGGCAGCTACTGTTAAGTTGCCTGAAATATCCTAGCAGGATGTCTCACAAGTAGAGGTCCCAGCTGGCCTCACTCATACAATGAGGGATGTTCTCCTGGTAGGGCTTCAGCAGCTACCTGGTCGGCATCTCTCCAGGTAACATTTCTCTTCGTGTTTGAGGCACTGGAGATAATGGGAAGAGACACTCAGCAGGGCTCCTAAAGGATGTCCCTCCTGACAGTGTGACACCCCTCCACACCAGGCAACTCCCTGAGAAGTAATTTGGAATTCTGTATCGGAGGCTGTAGGAGGGAACCGCGTGCATCTTACTATCAAAGATATTTTCTACCTAAAGTAAATAAACAAGCAAAACAACGGGATGGAGCAGCAGTCAGGAGCCCAGGATCTGTATCTGAAGCCAGCTGGGTTCAAATCTCAGCTCTGCTCTTACTGGTGGTGTGACCTTGGGCGAGTCATTTTACTAACTTTTAACCCTTATTTGTAAAACAAGGGTAAAAATAGTATCTGTATTACATGGTGTTTCCGCGTGAGGATTAAATGAGCTCACGCACATAAAGTATGTAACAAAATAAGTGCTCACTAAATGTTAGTTGTTATTTTTACTACCCACTGTTGGTTTTCCCCTCTTAGTTGTTGTCTGCAATTATACTTAAAAGGGCAGGCATGACAAATAGGTTTTATCACGAGTCAACTCTGATCAATTGGTTGTGTCAGCTTGAAGCATTTGATGGAAAGGATTTGAAGTCCTGTTTTAACGTGGTAGCAGAGAGTGTAGCAATTGATTAGTGATGTCTGCCCCCAGTGCAGGAATGAGCAGTTTAGTGGTAGGGAAGCCATCTCTGCTCCAGAGAGTTCCTGATTGGGTGTTTTAGAGCCATTCTGAAATCACTCCACAGGGACACAAACAGAACAACACTAGTGAGTACGGTTTGGGTGTGAAGAGAAGTGGGAATCAGAGTCCCACACACCATTTTTGGAAAAGAGTGAAGTTTTGCAACTAGAGGTTTGCTCTCTGAAGCTATCCATCCTTATTAGGCTTTCAGACATCAGAATGATCATATTCTGAGTCAGAGACAGGGTCTACCCAGCATGAGGCACCACGCAGACCCCAAGGATGGTATGAGGGGGACTTTGGAGAGTCTGGAGTTAGTTGAAGAAACCTCAGACCACCCTGTCATGGGCTTCACAGAGCAATTATCCATCACAAAGTTAGATTCAGTCCCTGGTCCAGTTCCACCTACTTGCCACACTCCTTGCAGGGGAAGATGGTGGTGGGGTCTGTCTCGCCGCTGGTGGTGCTGTGAGAGGGCGAGCTCTTCACCGAGCAGTACCCACTCTGGGCGCTGCCAGGCTTCTGCTTCCCAGAGGGGACAGCACCCCGAGCTTTGGTCACCTGGTTGGTGCCACCGTGGATGCGGGCATGGCCGTTCAGTGCCTGTCGAGAGCTGAACACCTGGGGAAGAAAGGGAGTGACATGACATCTACAGTCCTGAAAAGGAAATTAGGGTTATTAGTTACTCAATGGTAAAACATGTGATACTTGAAACAGTCTAACGACAGGGCACAGGGGCTTGACATCAGCAAACTTTGGGCACATGCCACAGAAAGTAGAGATCAATACCACAATCACAAATGCTGTGCCAATAAAAATCCCATCGTTGGTATAACCAGAAGACGAGAGGGGATGAGGCACAGCATGAAGGATAAAGCTGACGTCCACAAGTCAGGAGACCTGGGGGCTAGACCCAGCACCTCTGTCTAACTGGGAGGCTGCTAGGCCATTTCTCCTCTGTACACTTTATTTTTTTCCATCTATAAAATGAGGAGGTTGGACTAGCTTTCAATTTTTTTAAAGTCAGAAACTACTTCCACCTCTTTTTCCTTTCCCTCTTTCTTTCTTTCTGTTTTTTTTTTTTTTAAGACACATCAGGTCTTACTCAAACGCTCAAAGTTAAAAGCAGAGGTGCTCTGGCTGAATAGAGACAGCACCCCAGAACTGAGCCTATTTGCCCAGCTCTCTCTCCCCCCAGGAAGCCCTGGAGCCCCATGAAACCCAGTTTGAAAGACACTGATCAGCTGCTCTGACATATTCTCTATGTCTGGTCCAAGCCCCAGTCAGCAGCCTATTGGGGAGGCAATGTTTCAGACCTCCCAAATTTACTACAGGATAATAAAAAGGAAGAGGACCTGGACAGTCTTTTGAAGCTTGCCATAGAGCAAGTTTCCCAACCTCAGGACTACTGGCGTTAGGGATGGATAATTCACGGTTGTGGGGGGCTGTGTCATGTAGGATGTCCAGCAGCAGCACCCTGGCCTCCACCCACCAGATGCCAGTAGCACCGCCCCAGTCCTGACAAAACTGTCTCCAGACAGTGCCAAATGTTCTTGAGGAACAAAATGATTCCCAGTCGAGAACCACTGCTATAAAGTGATGTAATCTATACTCCGGAATTCCAAGAGCCCTGACTTGTGGCTTGTTAAATGCATCAGGTAATGGTGGTCGCCAGTGAGCCGCCCTGCTATAGGGGGTTACTCTGCCTTAAGCCCTTGAGCTCTATTTATGGTCTTACAGGGAAAAAAATCTGCTGCTGATTTAGCAACCCAAACCTCCACGGTTCCGCAAGGATTAAAACGAACACCGTTTTTTTCCCTGTGATTTTTAAAAGTCATTAAAAAACATCCATCTTGCCGAGCCTTTCTGATAGGGAAGAGTAAAAGATGACTTCCCACTCAGTAAAGGATTTACTGTACGCAAAAACTATGAATCGAGGAAGCATCCATTCACCCAGAAATACTGTCACTTAAAGTCACATCTTAATCATCTCTGAACGGAAGCACTCTATACAGAAGGGCAGTGATGGAGTGAAGTGTCCAGGTCATTAAACATCAAAGACAGAAACGAGATAGCAATTTCTTATGCTCTTCAAAGCTAATGCAAAATGTGTACATCTTTTTTTTTTTTTTACTTATTCATTTTTCCTTAAATGTAAATCAAGTGAATTTCTGCTTTAGGATCTAAATATTTTAAAGACTGCTGCTTTCTTCATCTAAGTGACAGACTCAATAAGCAGCATTCAATACACTATGGAAAACAGTATTGTTCCATATAATGCACAAGCAGAGATAAGCAGCAATTTGAGGAAAACGGACTTCTTGTGAAAGGAGCAACATTTTCATTTTTTGAGTAATACTGTATAATGTGCCTCTATAGGCGTGCCCGACTTTAAGAAACCTGATTTTGGAAAAGCTTAATAACTCTGACGAGTGGGAGACCAACGGGGGACCGAGAGTCCAAAGTTAACAACTTAAAAAAAATATCCTTTAAAATACACAGGGAGCCATAGACGAGGCAGTACAGATTCTGTAAGGCCTTCGCTTTAGTGCTAAGAATGATCAAATGGTGAATTAGTTTTGTTTTAGCTAAATGAGGCTTTTAACGTACTTGAAAAGTACTAGGTTAATTACACAGACTCCCTTTCAGCCCCTTTACATGATTAATTTGCTTAAGAAATCTTTTTTGTTTTCTCCAAAGGGTAAAAGATAAACTTTAGCTAAATCTTCGTAATTATGTTATAAAAGGACAATCCTTCCCTGGGGGCTCCCCCAGTGCGTTTAAATGCACGTTCACAGGGCACGACCCGGTGCGACACACAGCCCAGGGGAGTGGAGAGGCACCACATGTGCAGTCTAAGTTCTGGAGGTCAAGGCTCGCTGCGAGCCACGGGCATCGCCGCTGAAGAGCTCTGAACCACACACTTCCAGAGGGCAGGGACCTACTCTGCGTCCTCTGAGCAGCACAGCGCTTGACACGGACCACACATTCACTCCAGAAACATCTGCTGGCCAGATGAATCAGGAAACGGAGTGAAAGAAGGAAAACCAAGGCAATGTGGAAGTCCTTCTGACAAACTTTCACCGCTCAAAGGGCAGGCACCCTTTCCCAAACGCATCGTCTCTTAAAGCCGGGCACAGCCATATGGCCCATATGGCCCTCGCTAGTCCCAGATCCCCGAGGACGCGGAGACACTTACAGCCCCGCAGTTGGGCATTTCACAGATGAAGGAGCCCGAGGGCTGGCCAAGGGCCTGCAGGGGCGGCCCCTCTGTGGGAGCCAGGATGGGGCCTGGCGGCGGCTCTGGGGACCTTGGCACTTCGCTCTCGTCTTCTCTTGTGGATTTCCTATCTTCTTCTGGGTCCTCCTCCTCTAACTCTTCTTCTTCTTCACTCGTCTGGTGTTAAGGCAATAAAAGCAAAAAGGGGGAAATCCCCAAATGGCATTTTTAGTGATGATCAGAACCCACAGGCCAGGAGAGGAGAGAGGGGCTGGAGGCTGGGGCTGCACTGCTTTCTTTCTGCATAAGGAACGGCTGACAGAGCCTGGTGGGGAGGGATACAGTCTCTATATTGTTGGTCACTGGATGCTTGGAATTCTGAGGTCAAGGAAGTCCCTTGGCCCCACTTTGGGTTCCCCCATGACTTATGTAAAAAGATGCTACGGCCGGGAGGAGAGATTTCTGTCTGCAGAGTTTCTCCCCCTTGCTGGAGATGAGCAGACCTGGAACCTGACTAAAACCCCCGCAGGCTGCCCCCTTATGTGCAGCTGTCTCCCCAGAGCAGTACAGAGGGTTTTCAAGTGTTTTTCAAGGGTTTTCAAGCAATACTGTGGACACCCTATGGAGAGAGACTAAAGACCTATCATAATTTGTTTTATAGGCTTTATAACTCACTTCCATGCGAAACACCCGAGATATCTGATTTGACCCAAGGCCCGTGGAAAGCCTGTGCCACACTGTGTTCCGATGTGCTCCTGCTCTGCTCTTGTCAGAAACAGAATGGAAGAGTGAACCACAATGACTTTGAAAAGGAGAGAAAATGGAAGGGGATATTCACTTTTATTTATAACGCATTTATTTTTGGGGGAGGGTGTCTCTGAACACGGGCTTAGACAGATGCCCTCCAGAGGCCTATGAAATACAACAAGAAAAATATTTTCTACGATTCATTATTCTCTCTGCTACTGTGTGCCCTCCCTCTACTTCAGAACAGCACCCAGGCGGAGAATTAAGCAGAAAGCCCCCGCCTTCCTCGAGGCTAACACAACGGTCAGTTACGGGAGCAGCTTGGAGTCGGTACCCACAGTGGGTTGGGATGGAGCGCAGGGATCTAGGACGCTCTCACTCTAGCTCTGGTTTAAGTACCTTATTCTGCTCTCTCCATCCTCACTGTGGGGAGAGGGATGCTGGCTCCTCCAGTCCCAGAAAGGCCTGAGGACGAGGGAAAGGGAATTCTATGCTACATCAACCTCATTTCAGCTTCCAGCACTTTACAGTTTATGAAGCACTCTCACATTTACTATGTCATGGAATAGGCTGTAAACAGTCGTCTCATTTTACAAACGAGGAAACGAAAGGCATGTCCAGCCGCCTCTAACCTGACAGGTCATCTTTCTCTGCCAGGCTCTCTCTGCACACCCACAGCTTAAAGCACATGGGCTCCAGTCTGGTTTACCCCAAACAGCTCATCTGGGTGAGGCTACGATTCTTAAAACCCAGAAGTGAGAATTTCCAAGAAGAATAAAGATTTCTGAGTGGAATGGTACCCTGGGATACAGAAACCACAAGCTTTCTCTCTCCAGTTTGGATTGGAGGTGGGGTAGAAAGACAACGTCAGTGAATATGGGGGCATTGAACACTCCACTCATTGGATCAATCTTGTCCATAGTTAATAATATATATACATGCATTATTTGAGATGATATTGTAACAGGGTGTATTTAAGAAATGGTTCCAGTTTTCACTGGGTTAACTAGTAACGATTACATTTGCTGAAAGACTTCAATTAATACAGACATAGGTCTAACACATTTTATAGAGTGATTTATGATACTATAAGCTGTAGGTTTCTGACAAGTGTAGAACATAGAGGTTGATTTCACTTCAACCTTCTTATTCTTGGATGAAACCACCATCTTCCAATCTCAGAGTTTCAGGTAAAACCATATTATGTCAGACTCCAAGGGTTCACTCCATTCCTTACAGAACTGGGACCTGGTGATCCCAAATACCAGTTTACTGGGCAGAGCATAGCCTATAGCTTGGCATTTAAAACAAATCACATAAAACTTTAAGTGACAATGGCATTTGTTTCATGGTATAACTCTTGTAATTACAACTTTCTCATAATGTCATTTTTTGGCTTGAAAACTCTTAGAAGAAACATTCTATATAGCCACAAAATTACAGATTAAATTAAACTGTACTGTGATAATATATGTCTCAGGAATTTAGATTGGTTTTATTTCAACTGGCAATCTCCACATGTCCACAAAATGATTTATAATCAAGCCACATGGCTCACCAAAGTGACTAAGAGATACAAAGATAGGAGGGCAAAAATCCCAACATGTAGAACTTTGTATCAACAAGTTGGCCATTTTACGATGGATTGTGAAATGAAACATTCAGCAATATTTCAAAATTGGTAGAAAGTGGGCAGACGCAGGGCAGGGAGAGTCCACAATCAGAGTTCCTTGAGGAGGAGGATATTTTTATTTCTCAGGCATGCAAATAGAATTCACAGTATGAGAAATGTGTAAGTTAAAATATAAATGCTCAACCAAAATTTACTCAAAGACACAAATTTGAGTGTTATAGTCACTAATGATGATGACAGTGATGACATACTGAATACCTGCTATGAATCAGGCACTAAACACACACAGAGACACACACAAACATTTCTAGCGTTCACAACTCTACAAATTTTTCTTTTTTAAACAAATAGGGAAGTTGGCCAGAGAACTCGTTTTCCTAAAGTCACGTAGCTGGTAAAGAAGTTGAACTGAAATTTAAAACCCGGACTATCTGATTCCAAACCTCAGCCTCCTTCACCCCTTGGTCCTGTAGCAGATGTGCACAGGCGCACATTTATCCATCTGCACGTGGTTTAGGTTTTCATCTCAAATACAGAGATCCTAAGCCTCTCAAAACCATTGGCCAGCTGCCTTTAAATATCAAGGGGCAAGAGGATGCTTCCCAAGCCCCCGATGATGCTAGAAGTAACTTAGGTGGGAAGACCACGAGTGAACTTTGCTCTCGGAGCCCTTCCAAAGGCAGTTAACTGACTTGGAAGTTGGTTTCCTAAATTGTGCTGAAGATGGGTCACAGCCAGACCCACAGATTTGCCCGGAATGGGAACATGTGCATTGGCAGGAGACAGGAAGGCGTGGTCAGCACACTTTCCTCCCACCTCCTTAACAGAGCCCACCTTGGTCCCCCTTCTTCTGTCCCTAAGGGTGAAGGGCCTGTGACGGCCTCAGGTCAGAAGTCAAACTACCCTGCTGGGTTAGAGTTATGCTCTGCTGACCTTCTGGCTACCTGAAGAGTAGTCATTCCTCACAAACTCTCCTTTTTGCCCCTGTCTCCCCACAAAAGTCCCTGAGCTACCTAAGCATGTTCCATATGGGGGGAAATGGTCACCGGTCCCTTTAACAAAACACTGAGAACACAAGACCAGGAGAGCTATCCCAGGTGTCCCAGAAGACAAAGAGGAGGACCTCTGTCCTAGGACTGTGCCTTCTGCATCTTCCCCCGTCCTAGCATGGTCCCAATTTTTCGTCTCTACTTGGCAAACTATCCTCAGAAGGCTGACTATGCCTTCGCAGTGCCCAAAAAGGAGCTGTGAGCTACCATGCTGGCCTGAAATCAAGATTTTCTTGTTTTTGTGGGCCTGAGTCATCTCTGCACACAGGCTTTTGTTCTCCCCAAGCTCAGGTCAGGAGGGTGTGGATGCCTCTGACCCATCCTAATACTTGCTCCTGGGGAACAAACCCAAGAAGGTGTGGCCCCTTGGGCACCATCTTAATCCTTTCTGAGGCTGCATGCTGGCCTGGGCCTTTCCACCCACCTTCAAAGCCTGGTTGGCCCAAGATGGCGCCTCTCTTTGTCTGGTAACATCTTCCTCAGCAGCACTCCTCTGCTCAGAATCCCCTTGTTCACCTTGTCTCCCTCCAGTGAGTTCAGAGAGGGATAGTTGCTGTGACCCAGGGTGATTCCCAGAGTGACTTTATTGAGCGCCCGTATCATGCCAGACACTGTCCTAGGCACTTAGTCACACCCAAGCCGAAGGGACATCAATTTGCCTCAGGAAACCACATTCTCTGATTCTGCCCTCTTCCAAAACATGACTCTGACAGAGCCCAGAACATTCCAGAATTTGAAGAGACTTTCCAAATCATCTAAACCATCTGCCCATTTTATAGGTCAGCAAGCCTGGAGCCAGGTCCTAGGTCTCCAAGGCCAGGATTCTCTGTGTTTCTTTGTTTACTGTCTATTCTACTCATATGGAAAGCACTGCTCTGTGTGACCTTGAGCAAACCTCTTCCCCTCTCTGGGCCTCAACCTTCTGCCTGTGGAATGGTGGAGTTGGATGAGAGAGAGTCCTTAAGGCCATATTTAAGACTTTCTGGTTCTCATCTCACACTGCTTTTAAACACTCTTGGGGTTCACAGTAAACTTTCCACTTGTGTATGCCACATCTTCCCAACTAGAATATATGCTCCCAGGGATGGGGCAGAGGCTAGTTCCGGGTCACCCACGGCACTACATACATATTGCTGTTTACATTGTGGGAACTCAATTGCTCTTAGCTGCCTGAACCAGAAGAGGCCACAGTACTTTTTTAAACATTAGGCCACAAATGAGAAAAGGCTATGCAGAGACAAAACATCACTACTTCAACCAGTCAAACAAAAGACCTGGTCACAGGAAACCCTGAACATAGAACACTGCCATCTCTGATCGAAAGAATGGGAATACCATCCTATTCCACACATGTCTATTTTTTTCTGATATCTTGGTCCAAATATAAATTTACATATGTGTGTATATTTCATAGGTGGGATCAATTCTTAGGAACACAGGCTTTGGAGCATTAAGTGTTTTTACACTTCTCTAAGAGAATTGTGCATTTGACTGCTCTTAAGCATTACACAAACGAATCAAGATCAGACAACATACTCACAGTCATTTGACCATGGCTAAGTTACTTAGGCTCCGTGCCTCAGTTTCCTACCTCACAGAATTAGTGTGATTAAATGAGCCACTATTTGTAAAGTGCCCAGCACAAAGCCTAGCATGCAGAAATACTATGTAAGTGTCTGTTAAAGAAAACGACCCACATATGTGCTAACGCTTGTAACTGGGGGACAACTGGGAATGAAAATCTAATTAAAAATATCCACAACACTCATGAATTCCAAACATTTTCTCTGATGGTGACAGACTGGAGTTCAGTAACCTGTTATAAGACATGTAATTTTCACAAACGCAAACATGGTAGGTGATGTCTTCCACAGAATGTGAAAAGGAGATTTCTCCTGGCTGTGGATGCAAAGAAAGGACTTAACCACAAGGATAGAGTGGTAGTAATTACCAAAGCCACAGGTGAGGGGTTCGGAGAAGATGTCGATCTTTAGTACGTACTTACTCTAAATAGGCAGACAATTCTGGACTGTGTGCTAACGAAGGAAATTGATGTCAGGGATAAATGGTGACGTAAGGCTGAGAACTATGTACACACTGCTAACCAGTTTCTCACTAATCGAGGGTTCCTGCCACTACCCAGAGGGCAAAGCTCCTCCTGGGCCATGCTTTATGGAAGCCGTGGTAAAGTCCTTCATCTTTCTGAGGCAGGTTATGTTCTCTGGTCAGTGGCATCTGTGACACGGAAGGATCAGGAAGGGGTATCCCAGGGGACCAAGGCACCCATTATAAATCAACCACGTGAAGACTGGGGCCACCCTGGTTTAACTCCTCTGGCTCCTACTTGCCTTGGAACGCAAGCCAACCCTCATCTCCTCAACTGAACACTGAGCCACAGGTCAAACCGGAAGCTGCCTTCCCCCTGCCTCTCCATAGCAGGAAGTCAGGGTCTGAATCCTGCCCATCACTCACTCACTGCAGCCAGCCGCCTGGGCAGCAAAGCCAAACCAAATACCAGCCACTTACTGACCTGGCTGTGGGGTAGGAGAGGGGCCAGCATAAGCCGCGACCGATCTGCTGCACTCACCACACAATCATCGATGATTTCTGCAAGGCGTGTCCGGTGCCTCCGCCCCAACCGCATAATTTTCTTCCACGTGTAGTAGTACTCCACACACTGAGCCACCGTCTTAGACTTCACCTGCCGGGAAAGCCATCTCAAGATCAGCTCCAGCAGTGGGCAGCGTGCAAGGCAGCAAGCTTTTGTGAAAATTTGATTTTGTAATAGGTAATAGGTTTAGGCAGTTCAATAAAAAAACCCCACCATATATATGGAATGAAAAGTCTCCTTCCCATGCCTGTTCTCCATCCATTCAGTTCTCACTCCCCACCCCAGCAACACAGCTAGCTCCTCTTACTAATTCCTTATCATTCCAGAATTCTTTACACATATACCAACAAACACGAAAATATACTCCTCTTCACCATTTTTTCTCACAAAGGTAGCACACTATATATATACATATATATGTATATATATATGCACACACACAGTTTTTCAACTTGATTTTTTTATAATACAGCCTGAAGATTTTTTTCTTGTCAGTCCAGAGAGAGCTCATTCCTTTTTTTAACCCATAAAGCAGTGTGCTTTTTCATTTAATGCGCTTGAATGCGTTTGGCACTCTGACTTGTTGACCTTGAAAATCTATTTATGAAAAATGTTCCTTAGTCGAACAGGAATATAAGGCAAAGGTGTGACGAGCCTTGTTTTTGCAGGAAACAAGCCCTTCCCTGTTCTCTCCCGACAGGGCAAAGGTAAATGTATTTTAAAGAGAAAAAATTCCTTTGTTTAGTTCATATATCTCTAAGCTCAAGGTAGGGTTCAATAATGTGGGTTTCCTGAAAGCAGATAAAAGGCTGGCTGTACCCTTGGGGGTGGGAGCACAGCCACCTACGTGGTGAGATGAGAAGGGCATCACCGTAAGTCCTGTCTCCCCGAAGTTTCCCCCATCATATCCACCTGACGTCTTGAATTTCTACACTAGAATCTTCTGGGAGTGAGCATAGTGTCCCAGAGAACCTTGTTTAAAAACTTGTATTGCCTGGCAAACAGGACACATGAGTCCATCGTCAGTGAACAAGGTCTGGGGCCTTCAAGGAACGAGGCCTAGGACAGGTGGGCACTGGGGGAAGGCGACAAGAAAAACCAGAGCATGGGAGCTGCTGGGCAGACGAGGCAGCAAAGAACACGTGGGCCTCTAAGCAGGGCAAGGCAGGAGTAGATGCAGATCTGGAAACAGAGGCAAGTCGGAGAAGAAGCCCACCTATTCCGATTCTCATCCATCGAGGCCCTGGACTAAGGACCAGAGACATACACCAAGTACACCACTGGGGACCATGGGCCCAGCCTGCAGCCAGTGGGTGCTGTCACCTGTGAGCCTGTTCTCTGTGGACCCGAACATCTTAATGACCTTAATGACACAATAATGGCTAAACAAATCATCGGTTTGTTGAGAATCAGTTTAACTTTCAGCCTAAACCACCTCTCAGCCAATTAAGGCCTATGAAGTTTATTATCTGCTATATAAAGTGCCATCTCATCTATGTGAAAGAGTTCTGTTTTGCCGTGAAATGCTGTAAATGTAAAGTATTATTTTTATTAGTACTGTCACTATGATTAGGGGTCCAACACCAAAACTCTGCAACTGGCTAGGAGGAGGGCACATATCCTCCCTTCTCCAATTTCCCAGAAAAAAGCTCTGTCAGAAACATGACAGATCTGTCAAATATACAGGAAATAAATTATATAAATTGTGAACTAGAAGCCCCAGATCTATTTATTCTGATAGAATGCATAAATTACACATTTTTATTAAGATAAAAATAACTCCCACCACTGCCATGTCCAAATAATTTATGTCCTCCTCCCCACATCCCTGACGTCAGGGCCGTGCCCTCCCGATGTCAGATACCATCCTTCACCAGCGAGGGGGGAAGACACGCTTTCTGTGAGAGCATTAAACCGCTGACCACATATTTATATGTATCTGCAGGTATGCCATTTCCAAGTTCAATTTCAAGTGAGCAATGAGCATGCTTACCATCTTCTGTACAAAAATAAAGTCTTTGCTGTAAGTGGCTAGTGCTTTATTAAACAGCTTTCTTTCTAGGGAGGTCCACTTGTCTGAACCTACAAGAAAAGACAAACCTCATGAGAACAGCTCACAGTTCTTCCCACTTTTAGCTGCTGGTTCACTTAGTTAAGTTACAAAATACGACTGCTGAGCAAATGGTATAATACACATCAAACTTCTGTTTGAACAAAAAGGCAGTGTTGTATAATGGTTAGCAGCCCTGAAGCCTGGGTTCAAATCTCAGCTATGGCCTTCACCTTGGCAAGTTACTGAACCTAAGACTCAGCTTTGTTACCTACAAATGAGAATAATTCTAATTGTCCCCACCTCTAAGGAATTTTGTGAAGGTTAAAGAAGGTAACGCACAAAATATGTCTACGTTAGTAACTGGAAAATTGTGAGTGCTCAACAAATTTCAGCTCCAGTCTTTATGTAATTATGATGTTCACAGAGCAAGTGCTCCTCAAAATGTAGTGGATTCAGCAGCCTCCACCATCAAGATGCGTTCAAAGTGACGAATGCAATGATGGAAGGTAGAGGTCAAGTGTCAATGGGGCACAAAGGAGGAACACTACACTCAGGTTAGTGCCAGGGCAACTGGGAAGGCGTCCACGTAGAGAAAACACCTGAGAGTTTTCGTTCTTTTTGTTTGTTTTGTTTTGTTTTTTTTGGTGAGGAAGATTGGCCCTGAGCTAACATCTTGCCAATCTTCCTCTATTTTTTTTTTTTAAAGATTTTATTTTTTTCCTTTTTCTCCCCAAAGCCCCCTGGTACATAGTTGTATATTCTTTGTTGTGGGTCCTTCTAGTTGTGGCATGTGGGACGCTGCCTCAGCGTGGCTTGATGAGCAGTGCCATGTCCGCACCCAGGATTCGAACCAACGAAACACTGGGCCGCCTGCAGCAGAGCACGTGAACTTAACCACTCAGCCACGGGGCCAGCCCCTCTTCCTCTATTTTTTTGTACGTGGGATGCCGCCACAGCATGACTCGATGAGTGGTGTGTAGGTCCACATCCAGGATCCGAACCTGTGAACCCCGGCGCTGCCAAGGCAGAGCATGAGAACTTAACCACTACAGCACCGGGCCTGCCCCCAGAGTTGATTTTTAAAGGACACAGAAGCAAGTCAGACAAGGAGGAGGAGGGAGGTAATTCTGAGGAGAGAAAGTGGCCTGTGCAAAGAGGCAAGCAGTGAGAAGATGCATTTCATTCATTTATTCATCCACTCAACAGATATTTATTAGATGTTTATGACGTGCAAGACGCTGTTCTGGGGGAAAAAAAGCTAACGTTTATAAGTGTTTGCTATGTGCCAGGTTCTAAGTACTTCACAGATATTAGCCATTTGGTTCTACCAGTAACCCTGTGAGATTGGTATTTCTGGTACTCATTTTACAGATGAGGAAATGGAGGTGTTCAAGGACTGAGCAGTAATCCAGTATGGTTCAACTACAGGGTTCCAGCAGACGGACAGCAGAGGAGGCGGCAGAGGCGACTGGGACCAGCTCCTGCCAGATCCGCAGACGAACGAGGAAGAGGCCCCGCGGTGCCAGGCTGGTGCACCTGCCTTGCTGGCTGAACTCGATATTCACGTTTCTTTCCTCCATAAAAGAGAAAGCAGGATGTGCAGATGATCCTAGAGCATGGTACCTGCCTGTTTGAGGGAAGAAATAAGGCCTGTTTCTAAGGGGAGTCCTAATTCTGGGGACTCCAGGGAAGGTGCAACCACTGTGGCTGGTCTGCAGAAAATGGCCTCTTTGTTCTGGTTTGTTCAGTTCTCCAGATCTCTGATTCTTTGGATGGTACATGGCTGGGCCTTTGACATTCCTCTGCCTCCCAGAGCTGTAATCCCCAAAACCACAGTATTTTTCCTCCCAGCCAGGACAAGCCCAAGGTTTCCATTTTTCCAGGGTTGATTGATGGGGCTGAAGTACGGGAAATCTAATCGCTTCTTCCCTTGGAGGGAGGCACAGTCAGCGAATCAGGTGAAACCACTCTGGGCAGGCAAGGGGTGGAGATCCTGGGATCCTTGAGAGAATATGTGACTCAGTGATGTAAACGCAGATTTCTGAAATAAACATCTTCTCTGTATGACTCCTTGATGGGTCCTCAAGTCAAGAGCTCTGGTTCCAGACTCAGAATATGCTCTCCAAGGCTGGGCCAGTTCAAACTCTAAGAAGCAGGGCCATCAGCCCATTTCTCTGGTTTGCAAGTTATCTCTTTACTTCTGGAAGGAAAGCAGCTTTCTGATTAATCCTTAGCAGAAGGAAGCATCTTTCACATGTTCTGAAGGCTGGGACATCTCTGGCTCTGCAAACCACCACGAAGGGAGGAGAAGAGGGGCTGGGAGTTTGGAGAAGCTTGGCTGGAGCGGACGTGAGCAAAGGAGGTTGGTGAGATTTGGGGTTCTGGAGCGGTTCCATCACCATTCCTCAAATTCTGTCCAACATTCAATGCCTTGGGGTCCCAGCTCCCATATGCTCCCCTTACCCAGGAGCAGAGGCAGGAAGAGAAAGACAGAAAAGATTAACCAACAATTTAGTTGAATGACCAAACAGCTGTCATGGTTCCTTTTAGGTATCCACCAAAATAGCAGAGAGATAAGAGAGATCAGGAAGATAAAGGTGCTTCTATCACGCTGGGGACATGTCACATCACCTGAGTCCCTGGACAAGCTTATAAGGAGGTTTATGTTCTGTCCTGCTGCAAATCCGGAGCCTGTGCAGCTCTGGGTTGCATCTCATATGGGGGAAAAGGTGACATTTTGCTGATGAAAACCCCCAACTAGATCAATGAGAATCCTTTCCTCCCTCAGCCAGACCATCCATTTCCTGAGTTAGAGTGCAGCTCCAAGATCTGGTGAGACCCTAACAGGGCCATGCAGCCTTCTCAGGCCAGGACCCAGTCTCTACAGTGGACATACTTTCTTCCACCTCACGCCAGGCTCATCACCTTATTACCGGCCCAACAGCAGTGTGAGAGTCCCAGGTCTTCTACTTTTGAGAAGCATGTTCCCAAATGGCTTGCCAGTTGCAACCCCATAGAAGGTAAAGTAGGTTCCTGGACCATCTGTTGTGGGGGATTCCCAAGCCTCATGGGGAAAGGAGATCTTCCCCCTGCCGACTCCTCGGTGGTTTTTAGGGCTGCTGCTCTGTGATGGGGTCTTCGGTGTGTTCCTGATCCTGATCCCAGGCTGGTCATTCTGCACCACCAGCCCTGGATTGCAAGTGGGCTGCACTCTCTCACTTTTCTCTCTGAGCCACTCTCCCACTCCGAGGGCTGTAGGGCAGGGAGCATGTGCTCAGAGAGCGAGAGATGGCTCCTCTACGTGGTCCTAGGGTCTGTGCTTTGGTGAAAATGATAGCACTGTGTGTGTGTGTCTGTCCAACAAGGGCATCCATGAAGCAAGAGGCAGGCGCAGGGCCAGAAAAACAAATCTGTTCTCACGTTCACACCAGAGCGGGCTCCATCTTCACCGCATCCTGATCACAGGATTGCCCATGGGGCCAAGAATCCCCTTCTGGCCTCCTGGACTGAATTCCCAGGCCAAAACCTGGAAACACCTGAACATGCTCTTCCTACCTAGTAAGGTCACTCTGCTGTGATGAAAGGGGTGACTTCCGTTAGGAGACCACAGGCTGCAAACCTGGTTCTGCCACTGACTCCTCCTTTGGCCCCAGGCAAATTTACTTAACTTCTCTCAGTCTCAGTTTCCTCTTCTGTGACTCACAGCATTTGGTCCTAGGTAGGTGCACAGTGAATGTTTTGGATCTTAACTGGCCACTTGGAGAGCAGATTCCAAGTCAGCCCACAGCTCTGGGACGCACACCGTCCTGTGCTGACGTATGCCTTAGTGGCCTCGCGAAGCTCCACTGTCCCTGCCAACGTTCTCCGTTCTGTGCACGTATAATCCCGCAGCCTTACTGCTGGCTGCTTGTAACCTCCACAGTCTCCTCCTCCGGCCTCTGAAGTCCTTCTGCAATCCAGTCAAGGGAAGGCTCAGGTGTCTCTCTTCCCTGGAGTCCCTGTCTGACGGGAGCACGTTCCTCATTCTTAGACAAGGTTCCAAGCCAGCCCTTCTTGGATTCTGTGTCTTGGACAAAGTCCAGGACAAAATGCAAAACCGAGGCAGGGGACTTGCTCAAGCTCTCCCCTTTGCTCTGCCCTCCCTTCCTCTCCAGGATCCCTGCTGTCCACCCAGCACACACGCAGGGTTAGTGGGCTGACGTTCCCCAGCACTCATTTGCTCTACCTGGGGATTCCTGGCTATCGGGCTATTATCAGCAGGGGCCCCTAACAAGACGATTAAGGCTAATTACAAAGAGCATAATTAACTGGAGGAAGCTGGTGCTGGAACAGTATCCAGAGGAAAAATGTTCTGAGCTGTGGTTGCTGGGAAACAGGCTCTGGACCGTGCCTGAACTGGGGGCCGTCTACAGTGAACCCAGGCAATGAAAAAGAGAGGTGGAAGGGGGAGAGAAAGTTTGGGCACGGTCTCTTTGAAAGAAGGCCTTTCTGTCTTCCTTTCAAGATTTGAAAACCCTTAATTGAGGCTGTTGTCACTGCGTCACACAAGAAAGGCACGTTCACTGTAGAAAAAGGGGGACTGTTGTGACAAGAGATCTTCATTTCCGTGCAAGGTTTTCCACAGTGGGTGAAGGATGAGTAATTTTTTTAGGGGTGCAGGTTGTGAAGCAGGGGATACCAAAATCCCTCCAGAGGCAAAAGGAAGGGAGGCCTCCATCTGAATCGAGAACTCGAGCTTGTCCACTAACCCTTTTCTTTACAAGTTCAGTGTCAGGCAAAGCAAGAGAGTAAGTATCAACTCAGTTCCTGCCCTTCTGGGGACCATTATCCAGCTAGAGACACGGGCTAAGAATGCCTGGAAAATGACATCACAGCTGTGCCTCCTGCAAAGTATTCTCTTGAGAATGTAATTCCGTCTCCTCATCAAACTGGGGCAGCTTCCAAGATAGAGACCAGTCTTCTCCCAACCGAGTGGGTATTTCCTCCAGGTCTCCCCCGTCTCCGGAGTCAGGTCAGGGTCAGGACCCAGTGAGCGCTTGGGCTGTGGTGGGAGCTGACAGTAGCCTCTGTTGAACCCTCGACAAGACGCTCAGGGCCAGTTGGGACACCCCTCCACTCCACACCCATCTGCAGGAATGACCAGTTCAATGGAAAATCCAAGGATGCCGCAAGCCATATAATCACAACCAGGCGTCCTCCTCAGCCTGACTCCCCCACGCTCCAGCCTTCCCCACCCAATCCAACTGCTAGCTGGGAGCAACTGCAAACAACTGCTACCCACACAGGGGTGGAGGGTGCTTAGGGAGGGCTGGACCGGGCACCTTGGTGTGGATTAAAGAGCGCCGGGGGCCACTGCAACAGCATCTTCCTCCTAGGATCTTAACAGGGCTCCTCTGGCCTTGGCAAGCAGCCCCCAGATCTGGGTGAGCTGCCTACCCACACGGTGTGTCTCCTGGGTCCCAGCATCGGGCACTTTCTCCTTTTTTACTGCGTTGCTTGGGATGGAGTGGGAAAGGGAAGGTCGTGAGTGAAGGAAGGGAAGCGATTTTCACAGGGCTGTGTCTCTGTCTGACTCCCCCTGACTTGCAGCCTCCTTCGCAGAGACCAGTCTTTCTGCCTTCCTCCAGGGCACAGACAGGCCTGGGAGGTCTCACCTCTTCTCTCTCTCTAGATGCCTGGAGTGCAATTCCAGGGCCGGGAGTCCGGGTGAGGTGACACTGGCCACAGCCGCAGAGCTGGAAGCCAAAGGAGATCCAGAGGATAGTGTCCCAGTGAGGCTGACCTGAGCCGACAGAGAGTCCTACTGGAGAGCAACCCAACGGGGCTTGGCACAAAGGCCAAGGCAGGAGGGGGTCATGGGGATAGGATTCACTGACACTCTAGAACCAAACAAGGGGGGCTGGTGGCTGGTATCTGGGGCATGTGATGGGGGTAGAGTCTGTGACCTCCCCTGTGGCTTGGAAGGGAACTGCTAAAGGGATGGAGTCAGGTCAGACTTTAGAGATCAGCGACCTCTGCTCTTTTCATGCATAATTCTAGAAGATTCTCTAGGGCCCAGTCTGTGATCACTTCCTGGAGAAAGCAAATGACTGGAAGACAGGTGAGCACCCTTTTCTTGGGGACACACAGCTAGCGGGAGACCAACTCTTCACACCTCTGTTCCACCTCTCTTGCCCCTAAGGATGGAAATAATTCCAGGAAGCAGGAGTGCTCCTGGTCTGCCTGTGGGATAAGGGGGCAGGGGACAGGCAAAGGATTAGCTAGGAACCCCCAACCACAAAAGATCAATTAGTTTTAGCAGAGTTTAGGGCCCTTTAATTTCAAAGTTCTTGGTACTATTTTAGTGTTTTTGTTTTATTTTGTTTGGGGCAGGCGTGGCTTGTAGTCCATAGCTTTCCACCCTTTTTTATGTCATGACACATATAAAAAAATAATACTTGCTTGGCACACTGGGAAGAACTGGAGGGGACCTGGGTCCCAGATGAGGCTGCTCACAGCTGGAGCTAACCAGCCCAGAGATGCCGGCCACCCCAGTCACCCCAAGGGCCGAGGGCAGCCACAGCAGATGGTTGGGAAGCTCCTTCTTGTCAACCAACTGTCCCTCTTACTATGGAAAGCATGAGACAGGCTTGGACAGCTTGTCGGGGTTTAATGGGCAGCAGATGATACTGGGAATTAAGAGAGGACCTGAATTGTTGCCATGGCAGATTAGGGAGCACTCCCACATCTTTCTACACACACTTGGGGCAGACGCAAGCAGGAAATGATGGAGACAAGTTAAGAAACCAGCTCCTTCAGGCCACTGGTTAAATGATGGATTTCTGCTCTCATGTGTCCTTTTTGGGTTTGCCTAGTTCCAGTAGTGGCCTGTGTGCTAAGCGCGACCCACAGGCAGACATCCTGGGCTCACTGTGCTCGGATGAGTGGCTTCTGAGGCCCTTTCATCCTGTGATGACGGGCAGGAAGGCTGACTCATGGCAGGAGCACATTAACTGGGGCAAACGGTGGTGTGGACAGGGAGCCCACTGAGAATGCTCCAGTATTTTTAGAGCAGCCCTCACCTTAGGCCACATCGGGCTGCCTGGACCAAGGACTTGGAAAAGGCATTACTAGGTTCCCAGGCCCACTAAAGTATTTAGCACCTACCTAGGGAGTGTCTGCTCAAGGTGCCAAAGAAACCTTCAAATGATTAACAATCAAGGGGCACTGCAGGTTGTAGCCCCCTCTGAAATAGAAAACCCAGGCAAGATGGTGGAGACCCTCCAGAATGGACTGGTTTACCAGTGAATGGAAATAAAAATGTTAGCTTCAACTTCATTTGTCATCTCAGGCTCCCCAACCTGTTTCCCTCTCTCTTCCATTCAGCTCTCAAACGTGGTTTCTCCTTCCTCCTTATTGGTGATATCACGTTAATCCACACCCTCATAAGACACACTCATATGTAAATATACATGTAAATATATGCATATGCAAATATATATGTATATGTGTAAATGTATGTCTTTTCCTAGCATTAGTGTGATCTGTTTTTTAATAACTGCCTCCTCCTCAGACTCCAAGCTGAATGAGGCAGGACTCTGTCTGTCTATGTCTGTCATAGTCACTCTTCCATCTTAATGCTTAGCACAGTTTGTTGGACATAGTAAGTGCTCAATAAGTAATTGTTTAATAAATGAGTAACAACAGCCTCTAGGACATACCAGGCATTGGGCTACATATACTATCTCTAATCTTCACAAAGGGATGGAGTATGAGCCCATTTTACGGGGGAGGAAACCAAGGCTGGAGAGGGCCAAGGGGCAAGATCTGAACCCAGGTCTACTGATTCCAAAGCCAGGCGGCAGCTGAGTGTCGTTGCCTCTGTGCCGTACCCTGTGGTACTGTGGCCCTTTCCCCTGATGCACCCGTCTCACTGCCACACACGCAGGCACTGGCCACTCTCGCCCAGCTCTTGGCACACCCATGAGGGGCAGGAGCTCGCACAGCTCAACGCTGCCCCACCAAGAGACTCAACTGCCCCCTCAGTTATGCCCCAAAGGCCTTGAGGTCACAAGCAGCAATTAGGACAGAAGCAGTGCCATGTATTATTAAAAATCGACCCAACCAAACATGCAAACAGCCTGCTCTCAGGTAGCAATGGGGCCCAGGGCTCCTGGTGACCTACCGGCATAGTGGTAATTTGCTAAAGGATGACATTTTAACCTGACTGGCTTCCGCAGCAGCAGCATTTCCAGAGCAACCTGCAGACCCATGGGAGAAAAAAGGTGAGAGTCAGGAATGAGTCTGTGTGTCCTAGGAAGACCATCTACCTAATGGGGAAAAAGGGTCCAGCACTGCAGAGCCCGGAGCTGGGGGTGCTGGAAGGAAAACCAGAGGGAAAACTACTTGGGGTTTCCTTTCTGGTCAGCACCTAGCAGGGTTTGCCGTTCTAACCCTCCCCCCAGCTCAGGAGAACAGCCAGCTAGTCATGTCTGAGACCCCACTCCTTCCTTGGTGAGGGCCTCGGCCTCAGAGAGATAGTGGGGCCTCCTCTGAATGGAGGCTGGGTCTCCAGGGAAGGACTTCAAGGAAATGAGTGGGTGATATGTAACTGTTTCTGCAGAAAAGTCATATGTTTCATTATAATTGAACACAAACAGCTGTATTAGTAATAACCATACTACACATTGTCCTCCCAGAGAGCCTAGCTAAAGAAACCCTTTCAAATCTGCCTTCTTTAGCCTTGTTGACTTTGAAAAAAATGCTGCAGGCAGAGTTGAGCAGTGGATGGTTCAGGGGCAGAGCAAGGTCTAGAATCTTGCTACTCCAGGTGTGGTCCACAGACCAGCAACATGAACATCCCCCGGAAGCCGGCCAGAAATGCAGAACCTTGGGCCCCACCTCCAGAACTGCTGAATAAGAACCTGCATTTTAACAAGATTCTCCAGGTGACTCGTGTGAACGTTAAAAGTTCTTGAAAAGTACCAAGAATTTCATGAGAAGGTAGTATTGGAACATTTGTTTACATTCACATTTTCATAAAATCAAAAAGGAAGAAGCTAGATCTGGTACAAGAATCATGTATTTACTAAAGGGGAAACTGAGGTTAATGACTGAGTAATCTTGTTAACAGCCCAGGTGCAGGAGGCAAATGGTCAGCTCTGATTCTGGCAAAATGGCACCAAAGTTCTGGTTTGACCAAAGGACTGTGTCAAAGGTGGAAGCATGACACCAGCTTGTACACAGCAAACACTTCATTTTGGTTAAGGGAGAAAACGGTTCTAAGAACATCAAACATTGGCTGACTTCTACAGTAAGAAAGAATTCTACCTCCACCCCTGGAGGCCAGTTTTATGATGTGAAATATAGGACTGCTGAAGAGAAATTCTAATTTCCCAAGACAGATGTGCCCATAATTATTACTTAGGAACGGATGTGTAAACGGAAGTCCAACTGGAGGTTTTCCTGCAGGCTTTTAAATCCTGACCTTCTCATTGAGGTAAGGAACATGAGGTCTATGGCTTGGTCATCATCTTATGAATTGTTTGTATGGTACATGGGACAACACAGAAACCTGGGAAAACAGTTTCAGAATTCTGACATGAAGAGGCAGATTGTGAAGCCTACTTTTCATGGTTCCTTACCATCACATCACCTTTGGCCTCGAAGAGAGAGTGCAAAGCAAATTCAGAATTGGTCCCTCCACCTGGCAATGCACTTGAACAGCACAAATTCAGGAGATTCTCCACTGTTGGGAACAAGGAGAAGCCACTGTATCAGAGAGAGCCCAGCATCATAGAAAAACACGGCAATCCTGGAACCAGGGGTCCTAGCGCGAGCGTCAAGGCTTCCCCACCCAGTTCTTCCCCTGCGCCAATACCTCTTTGCTGGAGGTCGTGGTTTTCTAGCTCTGGCCAGGGCTTCCATACCAGGGTGGCCTTGTGTGTGTCCTGGGCCAGGGCAGAGACATCCTGGAGTTCTGGGATCTCTGCTTGGAATCTCAAGCCAATGTTGATGCGTCTTTAATGACAAGAAGAAAAACAACAGTGTAGTCTTCAACTGGAGGCCAAGAGCAACTGTCAGGAACTTGAAAAAGAAGGAAACCAGTTTCTTCTGCAAGAAGAATGCAGCATGGACCATTTCCTCACAGCGTGATCCTAAGATTCCAGCCACGGCCTTTTCACTGGGATAAGGAATAGCTTTAAAACTGGGGAGAGATGCTGTGGGGAACAATGGAGAAGTCTGCCTGGGGCTTCATAGCTCCCTATAACTGAGAGAGGGGGTGCTAATTCCAAGGGAACAGCTCCCAGAATATGGCCGATGGCCCTTTTTAACCAGGAAAAATGGGACAAATATAAAGTGCTTATTTCATTTTTTATCCCTTTCAGACCACTTTCCCATAAATTATCCCATTTGAACCTCACAGAGACCTGTGCTGTAAGGAAAGCAGTGATAACTACTCCCATTCAATAGATGAGTTAGCTGAAGCCTAGAAAGGTTAGCTTGATCAAGATCAAATAACAAAGTGGCCCTAGAACTCAGGTTTTCTCATTCCTGACTCAGTCTACTCAGCACTCTACCATCTGGCCTTTTCTGTGCTCATCCATGAAAATAACCACCTTTCTCTTCCATTATATCTCCCCATCGCCCACCCATAACTCAAGTACTCAACAAGCCCATTTGAAGGACTGGCCAAGAATTTTAGGCATGGGGGAAGCAAGGGCATTTGGAAGGAGTCCTGTCGAGAACTGTGAACCATGAGAGAGATGCCTCAGTGTTACTGAGAACGTGAAAGCATGTAGCCACAATCGAACTGGTCCATGGAGCCAGAGATGGGGACACTAGGTTCTCTGAATACAGGGCTTCCTCCTTTTACTATGTATTTAGTCTTTGGTAAAGGCCTTGAAACACTGGCAATTGTAGAAAAACAACAGTACTTGAAAAATATCACAATCCTACAATTTCTACAACTTCTCCCTCAGGGGCCACTCTGACTCCAGAAGCACTAACTACACTTCTCAAAGCTCCTCATCCCTTTCCTCAGCAGAGGCTTCTGTTCTAAAGAATAATTGGGGGCCGGCCCAGTGGCGCAGTGGTTAAGTTGGTGTGCTCTGCTTCAGCGGCCTGGGATTCAGGATCCGGGGCGCAGACCTACACACTGCTCATCAAGCCATGCTGTGGCGGTGTTCCACATACAAAATAGAGGAAGATGGGCACAGACGTTAGCTCAGGGCCAAGCTTCCTCACATGCACACAAAAAGAACAACCGGCTTTTCCTTACGGTTCAATGTCAACCGTCTGCTCTCCAGGCCCTGGGGTGACTGTCACACTGCTGCCATCGATGCTGTCTGAATACAGAAAACAGAGATCACTGGTCAACAGGGAAGGGGTACTGAAGAAACTGAAGCAAATGAGCAATTACTGAACAGTCATAATAGGGCCCCCGTCCTACCCAACCCATGCCAGAGTCACCACCACTAGTCTCCAAGGAGCTGGAGTGTGTGCTAACTGGTTTAGGATGACCCATTCCTCACACAGGGTAAGGAGAAGCCAGCTGCCCCACTCTGGTCTGCTAAGCTGTCTTGTTTCTACAGAACTATTCTTGCTCCAGAAAGAGACCCTGGCTACAGGCTCTCCCTGCTTGATCTTTAAGCAGCACACACCCTAAATGTGGAGGCCCCGGTCTTGCACATAATCCTATCTGTACGGCTACTTAGTACTTTTCCCTTGGGTGCCTTTACGCAATTATCCACCACACAGTCCTATTATTTAGTATGTGCACACTTCAACTGTTTCCTTATCCCAAAGAGACTGTAATCATCACTTCACGCGTTTGTCTCCTCAGCTAGACGGTGATTCCCCTGAGGATGAGTATTCTCTATTTGTTCTAAGTATTTCCAGCACCAGCACAGTGCCTGGTACATGGAGTAGATAAGCCACACGTTAGGGGCGTCAAAGAGAGAACTACAGAAGGTGAGACCTCGCAGGGAGGTCCCCTGCACAGGCAGGGGTGAAAGCCCCGGGTCCGGGAGGGGTGACTCACTGGAGCGGCAGAGCAGCACGCGCGGCGTGGGCGTGAGGGGCGTGAGGGGCAGCTGGGGGTGGGCGCCGGGGCCGTGCCCGGAGATGAGGACATTGCTGAAGAGCCCCGAGCCCTGGCGCACCGGGCTGAGCATGGGCGGGGGCGTGTAGGGGGGCAGCTCGTGCGCGGGGTCCAGGAGCAGGTGGTCCCCCAGCACGCGCGGGGAGCGCAGCTGGCTCTGGTACAGGGTGGCGCCCGAGTAGGAGGCGGCGGGGCTCGGGTGGTAGGAGGGCGGTGGCGGGATGAAGAGCGGCTCGGGCCGGTGCCGGAACTTCTTCTTCTCGGGCGCCGCGGGCTTGTGGGGCTCCTCAGCTTTGGCCGCGCCCGGCTGATGCTTCCTGGGAATTTCCTGAAACGGGGAGAATGCTGCGATTCAGATACCTGGGCTTTCCCCACAGGCCGTTTCCACAGGTTGAGGGGAGGGGAACTTCCGTCCTACTCCGGACCCCTTTCCACTCGTCTGACCCCAGCATTCTTGGCGCTAAAAAGCAGCCACCTCTGTTTCGGACCAGGCGGGTTCTGGTGGCTTCACTGGGGAGAAAACTGGTGTGGAGGAAACCCCTCATGTCTGGAGGGAGATGGGGGTGGTAGGAATAGTGAGTGGGCAAGAAAGAATCAATTCACATTCTTTATTGCTTATCACCGCATTCCCATCTGGCGTGGGATCCAGCTGAGCGGGCCCTTTAATTCCCCACTGCTCCCCCGGGACAGACAACAGGGACAGATAACACACGTTCTGAGAAGGGGACAGAATAATCCATTCAGGGAAGCTGGGCAGAGGCTGTGGGGCAGGAAAAGGGGGTCAGGTCTAGCCAAGGTTCCCAGGGCCAGTGACCCACACTGGGCTCTCTTTCAAGGTAACTTTCTGGCTGAGGGAGAGCCATCTATGATTTTAAGGCCCCTTTCCTGTGCTCCCCTAGAAACAGAGCCAGTTAACCTCCCCCTCACCACCCCTCACTTCTGCTCCCAGCACTGGTGGCTCATTTGTAGCAAGCCCCTCTCCTCAGCTGGCTTCCTGTCAGCCGTGTTAGTTTATTTTATGGCAGCGGAACCAAGCATAGTCTGGAAGGAAGGTCTGCCACGTGGATACATATATACCAATAAGTAAACATATGCACGTAAACAGAGAAGCAGGGCGTGCCAAAGCCAAACAGAAACAGACTCGGGTTGTGTGCCAGCATCAGCCCAGGAAAATGAGGAGCTGGGTGTGGCTGCAGAGGCAGCAGTGCGGCTGGGAGAGGCGGCAGGGGTACTTGCAGAAAGGTTCTGGGTAGTCTGTGGTACCCTCTCAGGCCCTGCAGGCCAGTGCCAGTCACAGCCGCAGTCCCTCGCAGTTCCTGTGGCCAGGGTGGCGCCTGAGTAGGAGGCAGCAGGGGGTGATGGGAAGGGCTGGCCACAGTCACATGACCAGCTGCCTCCAGGCCATGTGACCTGCCCCTGTCGCCCCTCAGCTCTGGGCTCCCTCTCCCTCTGGACCCTGCTGCTGACTTGAGCACTTCAGGCTGCCCCCTCCTTTGTCTCCCTCAGCTTCGTTGTCTTTTGGGGCCCTGTCCCAGCCTCTGGGATGGGAGCCTAGTGAAGCAGAGAGGTGGGGAAAGGAAGAGGGCAGAGGACCCCCAGGCTCCCAGCTCACCCCTAGGGGGCTCTCCTTAGGCGAGAGCACCTCAGCCTGCCTCCTCTCCCACCAGAGGGCTCCTCACTGCGTGAGGCTGAGGTAGAGACAGGGGGCTGAGGAGAATGGGGAGAGGATGCCGATGCCCCCTAACTTGGGGAGCAATTCTGAAACTTTATACCCTATTCCTGGTAACTGATGAGGTCATGTGAGCACATGCAGACCTTGTGTGACCTCAACTCTGCACCAGAATCCAGACCTCCAATCATAGGGTCAAATGTCCCTCTTGGGCTTCCTTTACTTGAGCCTCTGGTCCTGCTATTCCAGCTCTAAAGCTGGATCTTCCAGGCAAGGCTCTGAGACCCTGGGCCAGAGAAGCCACCTACAGTGTCAGACCCGGATGTCACTTGAGAGGGAGCATTTACAGTGTTCCACCCCTCACAAGCTATTTGGACCCTCTGTGGGGGAAGGCCAAGTACTGAGAGGTTTTAAAAGCTCCCCAGAGGGGTGAGAACCACTGATGAGTCCAGTCTCCTCAAGGTCAGGGGAGAAATCGAGGCTCTGAGAAGGGGCAGGTCTCAGCTGCCTTCAGCCCAGCTGGCTAGGAGCAGAGCCCCAGGATTAAAACTCAGGGCTCCCGTCTGAACATTTTAATTTCTTTATATCAAGTGTCAGGATATACTTGCTCACATTTACTCAATCCCACCTACATGCTTCCACTTCGGCTTATCTCCCAACTCATGACGTCGCTCTCACCGTTTCCACAAAGCCAAGTCCATCTCTGCCTTCAAAACCCTGCTCAGAACGCCCCTCATCGTGACCTCTGATTCCGACCAAACTCATACCAAACTCCCTCGCCCCTCCCAGTCCCTAATTACTTTAGCTACCCAGGTGTATTCCCTCCGGCCACACCAGGGTCATCACTGTTTCTCCTCAGCCCTGGTGCTTCTCTTCCTGTCTTGAATTGGGGTGGGCGGTGCTGCCTGAGGCTCGGATCCCTGTGTTACTAGGAACCTACTGTCTCCAGCTTCAGGCTGTTTTCCAAGGGAAAAAACAGTGGATCTCCCACCAAATTAGGAACTTCTCTGGGCAAAGAGGGAGCTTAGCTATGTCACTTCATCTCTGCCTGTTGCTGGCACCCAAGTCCTGCCAGCTTATGAAAATCCTCATCCCCAGAGCTTCTCCACCAGTCTCTCCTCTTCTGAGACCTTGATATTACATAGAGAACTAGAAAAGCTCTTTTTGTACTTTCCTAGTTCTCTTAATTATCCTCCCTACTTCTACTCTAGCCCAACTCCACCCTCGTGCCTCCTGGAATCCCAGCAGCCATCTATTCTCTAAGGACAAATATGACCCAGCACACCACTTTGTGGCGAGGGGACAAATCTGACATAGTCAACCACATGGGGTCCAGACTCCTCGGAGGAGGGAAGGAGGGAGGGAGTGGGGGAGGGAGAGAAATTCAGAGAACGAGATCTCTGTTTCAGAGCGAAGCTAATAAGCTGCTTGGGTAAAGCACTTGGAATTTGAGAAAGAGAAGGAGAACTTAACAGTGAGTGAGAGATGCAAATCTCTTTGCTTTCCTGAGATTGGGGGTGGGTGTCCCTCAGGGGAAATTATTTCAGGAGCCTTAATGAATTAGGTCCTCCAAGGGTAATTTTGCAAGTGTGATACTGAAAATATTAATCATCTGGTAAGGGTGACCATCAGAATGGACGCCAGGGCTATGGCTTGGAGGCCCTGCTGTGCCAGGGGTTACATCTTTGGTTGCTACATTTGGGGAGGTCTGGAGATCCTGGGGGAGGGGCCAGGGCCCTGGGCAATAGCTATGTACTATCTGGAACAGTACTTCTGTATTTTAATAACCGATTACCAGCTGAGTTATCATTTCTGTTTTAATCTGGGAATACTCTGCGCCTCTCAGAATCTAACCCAGACCTTTAGCCTGGAAGAGTAACAAGTTACTGGATAGAGGGCGATGTGAACAAGAATGAGATTCCCAAGGCGGCCAGGGGGACGCAGCCCTGAGTGGCCACGCCATGTCTGAGCTTAGGCCAGTGACCCTGGAAGAGCTGTCCTCATCTCCAAGAAAGCAAAGGGATGTCCCCAACCCGGGCGGGCAGGACAGAGCAGCAACTCACAGCAGGCGTGCGGGGGGCAGCCCCTTGGGGGGAGTGTGGGGGAGAGAGGGTCATCCTCACGAGCACGGGCATCTCGTCGTCCGACATCGAGCTGGCTGGCTTGTCTCTGGCGGAGGGGGCGGCAACGACGCTGTTGGCGAAGCCCTGAGAGCTGGGCTTGGGCGGGAGAAGCTTGACAGGGACAGACACGGGCATGACCATGGGCGTGAGGCTTTCTGCCTCGGGAGGGAGCTGCGGTGGCGGCGGAGGCGGAGGCGGCAGTGGCGGCTGGGGCTGAGGCGGCGGGGCCTTCTCTCCTTCCTCCTACACAGACAATAAAGGCTTTGATCCTGGGCTGAGAGTAGCTCTCACAAGGGGAGCACACTTTGCTTTTCCAGAAAGGTTCCAGGACATCATGCATGGGTGACAGAGAACCACTGCAGGACCCTGAGTCCCTGGGCTCAAGTAATGACTGGGGGCAGTGGACAAGGTCACACACTCTATTTTCTACATTTAAGAAACCTTGACCATGCATCACTTGTATATCAAAACAAATATTTAGAAAAATTTTTGTGTGGTTGTCATTGATTTTTTTTTTTTAAAAAGGATATGGACTTGCAATCAGGCAAAAAAAGACCCCACATAAGTTTTTGTGTAGGATCTTTTAATACTATGGGCCTCAGTTTACTCATCTGTCAAATAGAAGACAAAGTTCTTTTATCTGGCATGGTCAGGAGCTGGAGGGACCTGGGTAATCCAAAGTTTTGGCAAACAAAGCATTAATCCCATACACTTAAATTAAGATCAACAATATGCAAAGAATCGAGAAAATTCTTTGCATTTTAACCTAACTCTAAAGCTGCATGGATGGTTCACTACGTGGATATCCTACCTGGATAATCCTGAGGGCATTTAAAGACCTTTGGATGCTAGAGTCTAATACGAGTGCCTGATGAAGTGAAAACGCTGGCTGAGAGCCTGTTGGTTCCATCAGCTCTCCTTGGCCATTGACTGCTGATCGGGAAAGTCCAAGTGACCCTGGGCTTGGGCGCTTCAAGTAGCTCAAGTTAAAAATAATATTGCATCTACATGTTTTCTCTGCTGTCTCCTCCATGAGGTGGAGAGCCTGGGATCCCCTAAAAGGATTACTAGTACCTTTGTTTTGACTCTTGTTCATGAAGCCAATGGAAGTGGGACTGTTTGACCTGTCTGGCTCCAGCGTCAAAGTGTAAGCACTTCCCTTAATTGGGGGAGGACTGTGCCTCCCCAGGTGCCCGCATGGGGCTCACACTCTCTGTCTGACGGCAGCAAAGCAAAGCAAGCAGCACATGGGCTGGGGAGGACTGGGCACTGGCTCCTGCTAACCTGTTTGAGGCTGGGGGAAGCCCTCATTCCCCCGTGGGACCGCATGTGGCCATTCAGCGCAGGCAGGCTCTTGAACTCCTTCAGGCAGATGGAGCACGTCAGCTTGTTCTTGGCATCAAACTGTTCCCCAAACACTCCTTTTAGTTGGCCACTGCTCAAGGGTAGGGCCAAAGGGAGAGGACACGCACGTTGAGGAAGGGGAACAGTGATTTATCACACGACCTCACGCCCTAGGAACCCATTTTACCCATCCACTGCCCCCAGGCCCATTGCCCCACTTGCATCACTCCAATACCCTTCAGAGAAGTAGACCCAATTTATAGATGAAAAACTGAGGCTCAAGAGTGGGCAAGGGCTTTCTCAGTCACGCAAGAGTTGCTCAAAACGCTCGTCTTCATTCCAGGACTTCTGGTGCTGGGTGTTCCCACCTGTGGCTTATTACCCATCTAAGGTCAGCTTGGGCTGCCTCTTCCAGAAGCTTTCCCTCAGAGACACCTGTCTGAATCCTCTGGGTCAGCCTCCAGACCACACGTGTTAGCAGTTTATCAGGCTCTGGCTAAGTCTGTAATTATTTACCACACCCATGAGTGGAGGACACAAGTCTGTACTGTTCACTGTTGTATTCTCAAAGCTTAGCTCCATGTCTGGCACGCAGTAGGTACTCAATAAATACTCACTGAATGAATAAAGGGACAGTGGACAGAACATGGGCTGTGGAGTCATTCCCAGCATTGCTACTTACTTGATGTGCAACTTTAAGCTCTCTGAGCCTCAGTTTTTTCGTGTGAAATAATAGGAATAAGAAGCAAACAATGGTTGAGTGCTTAGTATGTGCTAGGCACGTGGTAATCCTGTCCACCCTCACTGGGTAACATTATTACACATACTACAGAGTGCCTAGCACACGGTGAGCACTCAAACGCAACAGCTGCTACTATTATTCCTATAAACTTGAGGAATTGACTTTGAATTTGGAAATGAATCATGAGAGACAACCCAGGAAAACCTCCCAGTCTCCCAAAATGCCACCAAGCCTCCTTGCATCCATCCTACCTTGACTCAGGGGACCCTGGCTGGGCTCTGCCATCAGGTAGGTGCATCTAATTTTGAGCCATGCAGGACACCGGAAGAAAGAAGAAAGAGGAAAAACATGTGTTTCTGATGGGGAGGAGTCCTTGAGTGGCGGGAAGCCCAGGGCCTGCACTTTGAGGATTCTTCCCCTCTCCACCTAGCACTCATCCTGCTCACGGCTGCTCATGCCCTCGCTCTTCCTCACCTGAGACTTCTTTCCCTTGACTGCTCCCCAGCTTGGGACCACGCCCCACTCTGGGAGCTGCCGCCAGCCACAAGCCCACCAGGACTCAATTCCCCACCTCGTCCCTTCCTGTTCTCCCAGTCTACCCACTGTGTGCACAGAAAGGCTCCATTCCCATGAGAGACACAGAATGGAGAGAGCTGAGCGACACAGCATCATGCCGAGAGACCTCCTGCTCAATTCCCTTCCAGGCTTGGCCATGTCGTCTGATTCTTATGTTCACAAAGGCTCTCAGTTACAATGGGCCTGAGTCCCAAACAAAATGGCATCGAAGGGAGTTCCTTTCTGGCCTTCAACCTCCATCAGAGTCCTCTCTCCATCTATCCTGGTCTTATTCAGGGTTCCCTCCTCCTCTGACCCTTTGCCACATGTGTAGCACTTGGAAATGCCAAGGCATGAACAGTGGCCAGTATATAGTAGGTTGTTTTGTGGTCAAATACATTTGGGAAACAATCAAGGGTTAATAACCATGGCCCACAGGCTGAATCTCGTCTGCAGACATGCTTTGTTTGGCTACACTGCTTTTAAAGATCTTGAATAAGAATGCCATTGGATGGGGCATCTGCTCTCCAGGCCACCACAGTTGCCACCACTCCCTATTGTCTCATACCAGGCCATTTTGCTTATAAACTTTACCTGCCTGGATCCTGTGAGCAGCTAAGGTTTTCATCTCTGCAACTACATGAGGTAGCCCCTTTGGGAGATCCACAGCGCATATTAGCATATAAAGGCTCTGAGAAGCCCTGAGATTGCAACTTGTTCCACTTTAAGAAACCCCCAGATTTATTTATCCAGAGAACCCATTTCCCACCCCCAGCAATATCCATTAAACATTCTACAGAACTCCTGTTCTGAGCAAAATACTTTGAGAAATGCTGTCCTAATGTGGTCTCCCTCCCAAAGGGGCAACAATTTCACAGGGAATTCCCGGAGGATACAGATCTAAGGGGGACCAGAAACCCCCACCATGTGGTCCCTGGGCACATGACTCAAGCCTTGATCATTACATGCATCATTCAGGACCTGACACGGTATTTTGGCCATCTCCTTAGCAAGATTATAAGCTCAATGGGCAAAGTCAAAATTGATTTTGTATTCTAAGTGCCTGGCATAGACCGTGCCTGGCACTTAACAGGTTAACATTTGTGGAATGAATAAACTAAAGGGTTGGAGGGGTCAGAGACAGGACTGAGCTCTGGCTGGCCCTGTAGCACACTAAGACACCAAGAGAAACTTGCACTGTGAGAATACCTGGGGCCACATGGCACTGGGAGAGAGCTGCTGGTTCTGAGGCCCCATGTTGTTGAGGTGGATCCCACTGGGGGACAGGAGCGGCCGATGGGGGAGGGCACTGCTGACCCGATTCAGATCCGAGCTTGCTGGGTCTCCCAATCCTGCATCAGGAGGCCCCAGGTCCCCGTGGGAGCTCAGCATGGCCTGGGCCTGCCTGTCGCTGGGGTAAGTCTTGGGCTGACTGTCCTCCCGCTGCTGGTGCTGAGGCAGGTGGCTCTGCTGGTAGAGGGCGTGGCTGTAGGACTGCTGGGGCTCCTGGTAGTAGTACTGGGGCATGGAGCCCAGCTGAATCAGCTGGACAGCGTGTGCCTGCTCTGGGGTGTACTGGTGGGGGTCCCTGTGATAAGAAGGGGGCTGCAGGTGCATCTGTTGCTGCTGCTGCTCTTGCAAGTGCTGCATCATGGGTTGGGACTGATAATACTGAGGTATCTGCATTGAACCCTGCCGCTGCTGGAGCTGCAGCTGCTGCTGCTGCTGCTGCTGCTGTTGCTGCTGCTGCTGCTGAGGCTGTGGTGGGCGAATCTGCTGCTGCTGCTGCATTTCTTGCATCGACATACGCTGCTGCCCAGCCTGCTGCTGTTGCTGCTGTGGGTAATACTGGTGCTGCTGCATCTGTTGCATGTGCTGGGACAGCATCTGTGGGGCCTGCAGTGGCTGTCCTCCCGGCACTGGCATCTGAGCCAGTGGCTGCTGGTAGTCATAATACATGTGCCCTTGGCTAGGGTGCTGCCCAACCTGAAGCGCTGGTTTGGACAGCCCACCAGTGAAACCAGGGTGAGGCTGCTGGGGCACCTGCTGGTAGCGGGAAGGTATAGCCGGTGCTGGGGGCTCCACGGGCTTCTGGGACAGCAGCTGGCGGAGGGCACTGTCCGGGGCCCCATCCATCACTGCTGACTGGGTGTGCAGCACCTGGGCCATATTGTTGACCTGAATTCGCAGGTTTTGGTTGGCAAACACCTGGGTGAAAGAGTCTAGTTTGTGCAGGACACCGCTGGTGAGCTTCTGAGTCCGGATCTCACTGGCCTGGGAGTAGGTGTATTGGTAGCCATCGGTGGGCTCAGCCTGGGCCGGTGCCCCCCACATCATGTTTGAGTTGGTCAGGTTGCCACGTAGCTGGACATGGTTTCCAGGCCCTGCATGGCCTCCCCACCCTCCCTGCCTCGAGGTATCCACTTGGCCAAGGTTTTTGGAGCCAACAGGCAAGCCTAGACCGTCTCGAGTATCTTGAGGGAAGTGGGGAGAGATGGGTGAGGCCTGAGGGGCATCCATGGCAGCCCCTGTGACTGTATTCCCATAGTTGTGGTTCAGCCCGCCATGGACCCCAAGTGGTGGCTGTTGGTAGAAAAGGTTCTCACCACTGTGGGCCACGTGGTTGGTCTTGTACAGCTGCTGATCCCCCATGGTGCCCGCCTTGGTCGTGCACGTCCAGCCACAAAACCATAAAAAAAGGTAAATGAAACAAACCCAAAAGGACTGAAACCCTGAGAAGCTGAGAGAAAGCGTCCACACTACTCCACGGCTGACATGTCTGTGAATGCGGCTGGAGCCAGGTGTTCCTGTTGGCCTGTACCACTCATGTGCAGAGCGGCGGGTTTTACATCCTCGCCCGGGCTGAGGTACGGAGCAAACACCAGCGTGGGGAAGAGATGCCGCTCACACCTGCAAGACAAGATGCAAAGGACAGGAAAGTATTTATCTGGATGTTCTGCGACAAGCAATTACATCTACCATGACCAATTATAGAAATAAATACAAAACAGAAGACTTGATTAGAGATAGCTAGTGTCATATACTCCACACCCTTCTCACTGATTCTGCAGATCTTGACCCTCATGTGAGATGTGAACTCTCTTACTTTCAAGCTGTTGGCCAATGGCTCACTAGTTCATTGATTGGTCAATTCACTGTTATGCTCACTGATTAATTCATCCATTATTCTGGGACCCTGCTTTTGAAAGCTCAGCACTATTCTAGGACGTGCGGGGGATACGAAGACATTTAAGACATTCATTAATCAATTTATCTGCTCAACACTTATTAGACACCTACTAAGTGTAAGGCAAAATGCCAGGAGATGATTAAGACATAGGCTAGCTCTTCAAGAGCTTACGGTTAGAAAAGGCGACAGGTTATATGAATAAGTACAAGACAAGGAGGAAAAAGATGCATGTAATAAAAAGGTAAAACTATGAGTATGGAATTCAGACTGGAGAGCTTATTTCTAGCAGAAGAATGGAATTAGAAAAAGCTTCAAGGAGGAGCATTGCACGTGTCCATTTGCCTGTTAGGTCAGCATAGTTACCTGCCGCCTCGTGGTCCCTGCCCAGGAAAACCTCTGTGCATGGGGCTGACCACCCAGCCAGAAGCCTATGACGTGGGCTGGCACAAAAAAATAGGCTGGCCCAATCAGATTCCCTCTCTCAGGAACATGAACTAGGAAACCTGGAGAGACTGGTCTAGTCTGGTTTGAGTTCACACAGTTCTTTCCTGGGCTTCAGGCTGGGGTATGTAAACCCCTGGGAGTATATGAAGGCTTTCCAAGCACCACACACGCACTCAAAGTTTTAAGAGAATCACTTTCCATATCCTCAACTTCCATAGAAATTCTTTTCTAGAACTGCTGCACGATAGAGGCACAAGTTGTCCTCTTATACCTGCTCTTTCACAGTAGCCTTCCCCCTTTACAAAAGAAAGGCAAATCACTTCCCATCCGTCCCAAATCTTCACTGGGTTACCGCCCCAGGGATAACCCCCCACCCACCACCACACAAGTTCTACTTTCTTTTTTTTTTTTAAAGATTTTATTTTTCCTTTTTCTCTCCAAAGCCCCCCAGTACATAGTTGTGTATTTTTAGTGGTGGGTCCTTCCAGTTGTGGCATGTGGGATGCTGCCTCAGCATGGCCTGACAAGTGGTGCCATGTCCGCGCCCAGGATCCGAACCGGCAAAACCCTGGGCCGCTGAAGCGGGGCACGCAAACTTAACCACTTGGCCACGGGGCCGTCCCCTATTTTCTTAATAGAAAATTGAGAAAGCGAGGAACTCTAATAAATGAGTAGTCAACCTTCTTTGCAAGCTGGGTGGTTTCCAATTCTTACTTTATTAGGAAGCCCTAATAGAAGTAATTAAAATACAATTATTAGTGATAGACCACTGTGTGATTTTTGGTCTATAACTCAGAAGTAGACCAAGAACTGAGTGACCGTGCTTTAACAAAACTTGTATTTCTATTTGCTGGTTCACGTGAATGAAGGTTTTCAAGTGCTTACATCTATATAAATGAAAATCGGAAATACGATCGATGCTGATCCTTTTCTCATGCTAACAATAAGTAATAATCTTCCATGGATAAATAAAAAAATTGAAGAAATAACCCAGCACCAGCAATATTTTATTCCTGAACCTGGGTGGTAACCGCGTGGCTGTGCTCCCTCTGCGGTCACGCAAACTGTACGCTCTGAGCTGGTCATACAGAGGTATGTATGTCGGACATCAATAAAAAATTTTACTTTAAAAAGTCATCCAGCATCACCATCTCACTGAGATAAAATTTTAGTTTTATGTTTATTATTTAGCCAAGCTAGTAATATATTTATGTTGTTTTGATCAATTGTATACTATTAATAATTGTAATGATAACTCAAACCAGGAGAAAATTTTAATAGTTAGAGCTTTATGATTTCAGGAAATTAAAAAAGTTTTAACATCATATAAAATTGTTACAGAGAAATATGATAGGGAAAGAAATGAAAGAGTTTTAAGCATAAAAATATATTACATATATTACGTTAGGCTAAAATTCCATGGGGAAGTGAAACAGAAATAAAATTTCAAGGAGAAAAGGGAACACTGACTATTAACAAAGAGCGTGTTCATGCATTTTTAAAGTGGACGATGGTGGGTATCAAATCGCTATGGTGTTTAGACTCCACTGACTAAACAGTGATGTAATAGTTTTACTTAAATATATCCATGTTTACAATATACTGGAAATTGCATCTTCTGCAAACTTATGATAAAAAATGTAGACGTCAACTTAAAAATGGGTGAGGGGGTAAAGAGTTTTACGACATCCTTCTATGGGGGATTTTAAGCAGAAACGTTTGAAGACCACTGCAGTAGTCTCCCTCCAACTAGAAGGCGGCCTGAGTTGGTCTCTCCTTTTCTGAATGACAAGAGAAGGAGACGGACAAATTCCGAGTGAGGGATTTGGTTTGGTGGAATGAAGGATGGAGCAAGGGAAGCAGTGGGAGGAAACAAAGGTTGGCCAAAGACGGCTGGAGCAGACTCTGAACGCGAAGTTACGCGTGAGCCATGAATGGCCAGTGGAGGCTTCTGAGCAGAGGCACAAGGATGCTGGGCGTGAGGGTGCTGGGCTTCAGAGGCTGGGAGACCAACTCCCCTCGCTGCTCAAAATGTGGTCCGTATCACCTGGGAGCTGGTTAGAAGTTCAGAGGCTTCAGCCCAGATCTATTCATCAGAATCTGCATTTTATCAAGGCTCCTAAATGATTCGTGTGTAGATTAAAATTTGAGAAGCAATGGGTTAGCAGGTTCTGCTGCATCCAGGCGAGACATAATTAAGACCTGAACTCGGGTAGTGGTGAGCAGGAAGAGAGGGAGAAAGGAGAGGAACATCCCCTATGCTGCCAGTGGGAAGTGACGCTCTCTTTTCCCAAACAGCACTGGCCATCAGGGGCTATGACCCAGTCTGAGGACACCCGTCCCTTTCTCACACACACACTCTCTCTTGACGTCCTCACCCACCACACATACCTTGCTGACGCCCAATGAGTACCCCCAGCTCAGATGGTCTGAGCTCCTGATCAGCTGCCTACTCCACATCACCACTTCCACGTTCAAAGCCAAACTCAACATCATCTCCCCCAAAATGGATGCTGCTCCAAAGTGTCTCCCTTGACTCCTCCCTCTCCCTTAATCAACCACCACAACCTATCAATCTACTTCCTAATATTTTCTTAACTCTATCCATTTTTCTCCAGTTCCACCACTATCATGCTAGTCTGAGACATCATATCTGTCTTCTGGACTATTCCAAGAGCCTTCCAATTGGTCTCCCTGCTTTCAGTCATGTCCATTCTACAAACAGCAGCAGCAGAATGAACTTTTCAAAATGTGACTCTGATCTCATCATCCCACTGTTTAAAGCTCTTTGATGGCATCCTAGCACTCTTAGGTTAAAAATTAAAATCGTTAACAAGGCCAACAGGGCCCTGGGGAAGATAGTCCTCACCCTAACAATGTATCCCTCTTCTCTTTGCGCTTTATCTCCTTCCCATCCCTCACCGCAGCCATTCTGGTCTTCTCTCAGTTCCTTGAACCTGCCATGCTGCCTCCCACAACATGACCTTTGCACATGCTGGTCCCTCAACAACGGAGAGCTTTTCCCCTCCTCCCTCCCTCTCCCTCTAGCCAAGTCCTGGGCATCCTTCAGATCTCATCTCAAAGTATACTTTCTCAGAAAGTCTACCCTGACCCCAACCCCTAAGTCTACATCAGAGTCCTTTCTTATATGTTCTCATAAAACCACATTCCTTTTCTTTGGACCACTCTTCTCAGGCTGTAATGGTACTTCCACCAGTGCAATTATTGATTCATGGATCTTTCTCTATTAGAGCAGAGACCACGTGTACTTTTGTCTGATTCTATTCCCAAGCCCAGCACATTGGAGCCCCTCCAATAAGGATTTAATGAAGGATGGGTAGAGGGGTAATATTTGTTGATGAATGAATGAATGAATGAAAAAAATTAACCACCACCAAGTGTCTCAATGAATCGGTAAAGGCGGAAAAATATACTCAGTGTAGGCTGAGCACACGTTAAGTTTTCATGGAGAACAGTTAGATTTCACCTGCATCCTGATGGACAAAGAGGGCTTACAGAGATAGAGGACCAGGAAAGGTATTTCAGACGAGGGAACAGTGTGCACAAAGGCATGGAGTGAGGTGCAGGGGTCCATGCTGGGGTACTGTGTCCTTGTCAGGAACTCACCAATGATCAGGCTGAATTTGTATGGTCAGAGCTAAATTGCGGGGGCCTTAAAATGACGTCCAGCAGTGCTATCCTGTGGGCATTAGGCCTGGTGATTTCACTACGTAACCTTCCTTGAAAGCCTTGCACCAAGTCACCTCCCCCAGAAGAATCACTTATTGAAAGTCACCAGACTCTGACTACGATCTGATCTCATGTCCCTCCACCCTGGCCCTGTGGGTGGAAGGGAAGCTAGATGATTCCACTTCTGTTGACATGTCTGCCTTGTTAAGTGTTCCCAAACTGCTGGACGAGGGGCATTTCTTTGTGTTTTGAGCTACAGGAATCTAATCTTTATTTGTTGCTATTTTCAGAACTCGGAAAGTAGTTTATTTACAAGCACAGAACCCTAGAAAGTCAGAGGTAGGTTCCCAAGCTGTGGTTCCCGGGGCCAGCAGCACCAGCATCACCTGGGAATTGTTATAAATGCAAATTCTTGGGCCCCACCCAGATGCACTGAATCAGAAACTTGGGCGGCGGGGCCCAGCAGGCTGTGTTTTAATGAGCCCTCCTGTTGAGTCTGATGCCCTCTCAAGCTGAAGACTAATCTAGAGGTCATCTAGTCTCCCCATATTACAGATGAGGAAACTGAGGCCCAGAGACGTAACTG